GCTTTAAATCTCACTGTGCTACTTTATTGTATCCCATTGCCAAACGTGTTAAATAAACAGTCATTTATTGCAATTTTGAGAGTTGGCCCGTTCCTCGAAGCAAAAATACACAGCTACGATTATTCCTATAACAAAACTGAGTTATTTAGTTTAAATTATCATAATTTCGCACGGTTCCCCAAATGTCCTCTCGTTTTAATAGACGGAAAACACGATTTGTGTTTAAGTTAGGCGAATATTCCAAGGTGTATCGACCATAGGGAGTAACCACGGCGGCCTTGACCCTGGTCGAACCTCGTGAGCGTCGCACGAGGATTCTACACATGCAGTTTTTAGCCGCGACGGCGTCGGAATTCCGTCGACGCGTTGTGATATTCGATGGCTAGTGTGTCACGTGTTCGGTTACGAGAAATTTCAACGCTCTCGTGAAATTCGGCTCGCGGATATCACGCCGCGCGTCATTCGCCTCGAAATCCAATCCCACGTGGAAATTAAAAACCAAACCAGCCTTGTATAATGATTACTGTCGCAATTAATCGTCGTCAGTTGCGACGGTCAATTCTTGAATAGAATCGAGAAAACGAAAAAGCGTCGATAGGATTTTCTGTTTACGATTATTTACTTCTATCGTTAAAGATGATAACATGGTTTTAGAACGTCTATTGCGAGAGCCATGATTAAATTATTTATCAGGGCTATTAGAGTCGACGCGAGGTACATGTTTCATTCATGAGAGTCCCGAGCAATTATCCTCGTATGACAGCGATAACTCGGTTGAAAAATTCGCGTGCCTAGTAAACGGATCGATGTACCTGCGGACGATTGAACGAGTCACGTTCGACTAGTTCTTCTAGGAAGTTTCGTGTGCCGGTTAAACTTTCGAATAATGCATAACCGTGCCCACGATTATTGCTATCGATCGCGTGAAACGCTAACAAACGTTCAAGTGAAACTCAAGACGTCATCCTCTCTTTCTCGTTATTCCTCGTTTCGGGTAGTAAAAATAGGCAGAACGTTGTACATATTGGATTTCGATGAACGTCGAAGGGCTGACTCGTATTCCTCGCCCTTGTTTCATCGACTTAACCACTCCCAATTTTGTCATTTCTGAGTCCAATGACGATAATCAGCGTTCGCGTGATCGAGTTCCGAGAAGAGTCGCGAAGAAATTTGGAGGGTCGTTTGAAGTGGGATCGATGGACAGGACGGGTCACGGAGAACACTATCGTCGCCGGGTGTTATCGATTCGACAGCTACGGTTCCTGGCATTCGATGCTCGTTTCGTTTCTTCGGGATCTTACTCTCCACTGGCGTGAATGAAAAATGCGCCGCGCGTTGCACGCACACCCGCGTAAAAATAGAACCTCCGCCCCTTCGTCCCCGCGAGATTGATGCCTCGCATGCTATTAGCCTCTCTATGTGGATCAGCCTTTTTCTACTGCTGTCGATAATACGGGGATCGCGTGAGCTTCCCACTGAGAAGCTTGCATTTGTTATTTCCCGAGCTTTGCTCTTTCGATCTCCTCATGATTCATACAATTTAAATCCCGATTACATCTTTTCCTCCTATACATTTATACGAAATTGGATATACAAAAATATGTAGAAACGTACACGGCAAAACAGATAGACATCGTTATTGTTTTTGGGAGGTACGTCGATAGCTGAACGATTAAATTGATATAAAAGTTTCATCGGTTGACAGTTCGGGAGAGAAGCTTGCGCTGGCTGGGAAAATTCGATAACAACGGTTGTGCGTGGTTTTATAGCATACGACGGTTATGAATGATAAATGCGGGCGAGAACGCGGAAAGGTCATTATCCTCGCGTGCGGAAGCGTTTTCACTAAAAGGCTTTATTCACGGTTTACGCGAATTGCGTTCGCAATATTGTCGATACCGGGAATGCCAATATCAACAGCTAATACAGTAATCAGACTCTGAATTTAATTACGCGCTACCGACCATAATTAGTAGAACAGATAATTTCTATAGAACGCTAAATTCTATATCATCAATGATTATGACAAATGTAATTATGCATAAAAAACTCAAAATTGAGTAAATGTTTCACGTTGCGTCGTACTTAGAATTGGTAGCGTATGGTTGATCGGGACGTGGATGTTCTACTAGTTTGTAGATGTTTACTGTTAGGGCAAGAGGAGATTTACAACGATTCTAAAATTCCAAATGGCCACGAAGCCATCGACTTAACCGAAATAATATACGACCCTCGTACTACTTCATCAGCATCCATTCAATCTAACTCCGCCACTAAATAACCCGACTCCTAGCGAGTAAAAGAAGACTCTTAACCAGGACTTTGTAACAATCGACTGACACCTGGAAAAAGTCCTGATATGCCTCAGCGACATCCATTCAGTAGAAACCGTTAAATAATCTTTCCTCGGGACACCAGAAAAAGGATCAACGCATCCGCGTGTAGTACACGTGCCTATCTCATCAGTGAACTTGACACCGGCACTGCCGATCACTCGATCATCGTCGTATAGGTGCAGGTTGTAAATATCGATGGTATCTGTGTGGCCAGGCTCGTTAATCATCATCACCAGTGTCGAAGCATTTAGAAGAGTGTGTAGGTGTCTCGTACCGGCTCGTTCGCGAACATATGGCGAATGACTTGGACATTTTAGTAAATCCGTAATTGCAATCTGCGAGGTCCTCTTTCAGCTAGTTTTATCAAACGAAACTGTATCTCAAATGGTTCTGTCGTATCTCAATATGAATCGACATGTCACGTGATTTTCTCGTATGTGTATCCAATAAATGATATTTTCTTAATGCGAATTAATTGAGGAGAAAATGATTTTGATCCTGCTCCACCCTAGTTCTATCTCTTTCTCGACGATAATGCCGCGTACGGTTCGATAGCGGGCGTCGCGACGCCCGGCAGTCTGCCACCGTCGTCGTCGTCGTCGTCGTTCCATCCTGTTTCGTTCGGCGTCGTCGGTGGCGCACACACGCTCGCACTTAAAACACGAACACACACACCGTGGCGAGCGTTTTCGGCCGCGAGAACGCGTCCGTCGCTCTTACTTAGATGAACATGGGCGCCGCCTCCCAGAAATTCGCCCCGGTTCGTTAACCCTTTGCGACCCGAATCGATGGGGCTTGCACCACTTTTCTCATTCCGCACGCGTCGTTTACTATCGCTTCCAACAAAAACCCTTTCACGGATCTTTTATTAGAATCATTATCTCAGTTCTTTGAAAAATTGGTACCCATTTTATTTAGTAGATGTATTAGACACATTTACTTTATCCGATGGTCTATCGGTTTTAACGTCGTGTGGATCCTGCGGGGACCGCGGTCAAAGGAATGGTCGTTGACGTTGCTGGAACAGATAAATCAACGACGAGGCACGGTTTTAGTCGGCGCCATTAATTAATCGGACGATTTGCTCCAATTAATGTTGTTCCATCTACAAAATCCCGCGATTGTTTCATCAAAGCGTCCCGCGCCTCTTTTTGGCTCGTTACGCAATTAAAAACAGCGAGAGCGAGCGATTCACGGACCGTTTTAGAAACGTTTCACGTCGCGTTGTTTACGCCGTTTTGTTGGCCCGCCGTACCTCCCGTCCTCCCTCGAGCGGCTCCTCAATGGCCCCGTTGATTCGTCACTTGAATCCCAGTCAATTAGCGAACAAGCCTCTAGAATTCGCCTCCGAAATTTTTAACCAGCTTGTTTTGTTCCGTCTGTTCTCTCCTTGTTTTTGTTGGTAGAGAGCCGTCGACGGCCCTTGAAGCTTTTCAAGCTGGAATGCAAAGCGAGGATTCTCTTTCCCAGTTTCGCCTCGAAGTCGGCTCTCGCTAATTGCGAACAGATAATTTTAGTAGATCAGAATATCTCTGATCCCGATACGTTTCGCGTCCGGCACGAAACAGAGCTACGACCCGCGTGGTTAAAGTACTTTCAGGAAGTGGAACGAAACGACACTCCTGACTCTTGATCGACAGGAAATGTGTTTGGACGTTTGTAACGACTCGTGTCATAACCCGCGTGGCGCCGCTAGTCCAGACGCGCGTCTCATATCAGTAAAAAGCGCGATTCACGGTGCATACTGTCGGTCACGTTCAAGATGTTATCTTTACTTCCCGAGCTTTTCTCCTTTTCAATAGGATATCAGACATCTCGCAGGTAAAAGATATCGCGTGCACTCGAAACGGTCCATTTCCTTCGCTTATGAAACTGAAATGCGTGCATCGGGCTTTCTCTCGCCTGGTCTCGAAGTCGAACGAGCCTCCACTCGACAAGCAATAAAAGTTCAATGGCGTATTTCCACTCTCTTTCCCCTGAAAAATGCTAAGGGCCGTTCGAGTAGCATTCATCGTCGAGGCGAGAGAAGGAGCGGTAGATAAGAAAAGGAAAGAGAGGTAGCCCTCTCGAAGAAGCGTGCTGGTATCGATCGAGTCTTCATGGTCGACGCTCGTTATCGGTGTTTCCTTGCTTTTCCCTTGTCCTCTCTCTCTCTCTCTCTCTCTCTCTTCATCGTAAACAGCTTTATACGAAAAATCCATTTCGAGTAACGATGATTGAACCTGGCTGGGAAAAAGCTTTTCCGGTTGTCTTTTTTTTCCCGACCTGCCAATATCCTTTTACCTTGTTGCAAAGGGGTTGACCGTGCTAATAACAATGTCCGCTCTCGGTGAGTGACCGGTAAAGGGTGGTAAAGGAGACCCGTTTCGGGAAATTGAAAGCTCTGTCAGGTGGCCGACGGGCCATTTTTCTCTGCCGGAGGTTTTCCCACCATCCGGGTGGTCCATCCGTAGTGCAATTTATGAACGTTCTTTTACCCTTTATAAACCATCGTATAAACAATTAAACGCGCGCAGAACATTCGTCAAAATGACTTTATAAACAGTCGTAACGCGTCTGATGCCGTACAATACCGTGGCCAATAAATCGATTCGTTGTTATGACTGATTTTTACGAGTGGTAGTCGGTGTTTAAAATGAGCGACACGTTTCTGTTTGTTTTTAGTGTCTGGCACGGCAAACAAGAAAGAGGAAGAGACGGCGGTGGCCACCGTTGGCATCACGGAGGAGAGCACCGGTGGCAGTGTCCTGGGTACGAAATCCAGAACGGGCACGGATCCTGGCGGAGGCATAGACCTCTTGGCAGCGTTGCAGCTGCACAACACCACGCGACAGGGTGTTACACAGGTGCCAGGACTCGTTAGGTTAAAGCCAGCCTATTATCTCCAAGGTAAGTTTTGACGTTGGGCGTTGCGGATAATCAGCCAAAATAAGACGTGAAGTGAGAATAGATGAGAATTTCCTTTATCCCTTCCACTTCTGATGTTCCGTCTATTGTTGGATATCGAACGTATCTTTCAAATTTTCTGTTCCATAAGTTTTGTATGATCAGACTCTTAAATCACAATTTTGAAGTATCTTTAGCGGTCGATGAGTATGCGCGTATTCAAATATTGTTTGCGAGGACGAGCTAAGGGGTTAGTAAATCATTTTGTCCAATTTCGACCGACACGAGTTGCGTGCGGGTCACGTCGTAAATTTCATTGAGAGAGTCGAAATTTGTATCCGTCGAGAGCTCTCTTAACCCGAATACGGCCTGATTTGCATATCGGAGGGTCGTTTCGGGCGCAAGCCTCCTTCCGGCGATTCACATCCTGTGTTCGTTGTAAATGTTCGTTATCACTACGATTCTTCTTGATTCTTCGTGGTATATTGTTCGTAATAAGAAAATTTGACGGGATACAAAGGGAGAGAGATCAAGTGGAAAAACAATTACCGTTTATCGGCGAACACCGTGGCCGGTTACGTAACGAGCGATTAATCGATATTGTGAAAGGTCAGTTTCATAGCCGCGTCGTCTCCCTTCGAGGGAATTCCCTCGGTGCCTTAACCGAGTATCGATTGTTCTTTCGAGCATCCAGTGGATTGCACATTGTTCGCTTTTAACTTGGAACAGGGCGACCTAACGATTTTTCTGTTTCAAAACGTAACGAGTCTACTAATATTGGTAAAATAAATAAATAAATGGGAGTAGAGTTATGTCCGATGAGCAAAAAGATTTTCGATATTTCTATGGAACGTGCTCTACACGAAATAAAGTATTCAGAAGCGCCCTGTGTAACGATCGACGGCTGAGAAACACGCACACAGCGGTGGGCGAAAGCGTGGGCGACGGTGCAACGTCCTCGAAAACCGGGGGTGGTTGGCCCAAGGAGTTTCCCCCGAAAGAAATTTCGATTACCGACCCCTCGTTCGCCGCTTTTCCAACCCCTTCGCGATGCTTATTCCTCTTCGCCTTCGCACGAGCGTTCTCGACCAGCTGAAATTGCTGAGAATCATTGCATCGGTTCTTTTCAAAACTTCGGAGCTCGTTGAAAATTAAACCTGCGAGCTCGTATCAGTTATAAACAAATATTTTCTCTATCTCCTCCCTATTATTCTTCCATTAAGTTCTGGACATGTGTTCGTTCTCCTCGCGTTCACCCTCGATAAATATCGTTTTGGACAGTAGGTCGTGCCCGATGGATTCGGTTTATTCAGCTCGAATCACAGAGGAGCATTGTGACCGAGCGGACAAAGGATATAGCCCCGACACGTGTCAGAGAATTTTCCTCTGAACATGGAAAACAAGATCCCGCTATCCCCCTTTTGTAATCCAGGGAACCAGCTCCTGGAATTGTTCGACCCCATAGGTTCGCCCTGATCCCACTGCGATCTAATCTACTATTTATTTCCGAAGCGGCGACTATCTGTTCGCAGATGCTAAATTAATGCCGGTCCTGTCACCGTTCTCTAGTACTGATTTATGCACTGTTTCTTTTTCTGATGTTGATTTAGATTAATTGAATCTAGACCGAGATTTCTTTTATCTCGTAAATCACTGATGTATCGGTGTAATTACTGCATAAGAGAACTGCCTGAGACAAGTGTTCACGTTCGAGTCAGCTTGGATATTCACATGTAACGAGCTAAGCGGTGTATATTTGCTCGAGGTGGGGATAGGAGTCATCGATACGTGTGCCAGTTGGCTTGGAACGATTACGTACGGCTCGAAAGGGGTACGCGTATCGTTCGTTCAACTCGTTAATGAAGCGTGGACGTGGATAATTGAGCGAAGAGGAGGCTCAATGGTTCGATGGTCCTGCGCGGTACAGCGCACCCCGGTGTCCGGTTACTCATTTTATTAAGACTCGCGCTGAAACTCGAGGCCCCGAAGCCCGGCCCGTGCGCAGTTGCTCCGGGCCCCCCGACTAAGGATTACACGGCCGCGCGAACAATTAATCCCGCAGGATCAATTTTGCAACGGGTACCGTGCCATTGCGAGCGTCATGCCACTTCTGAAACTTTATCGCACGTGCCTCGCTACCAACTTGCTAATGAATGGGACACTATTAGACGTATATGAGGTCTCGAGTTACTGACTCGACTTAATAGATTCAATCTACTGTAGTTAATGCCGGCTACGAACATCGGAATAAAAATTAACACATGTTCAATACAGCGTTCGATACGACGATTCATATAACGGTCAGTAGAATGATTGATAATGATGCCTCTGAAAACTGTGTTCGAACAGTTAAACCGTTTGATTTTCGCAAATCACCCGTGAAAATTGGGCGTGCATCGATGCGAGAATCGGAGGCAATCGAATTTTCGCGTTACGTAACTGCGAGCAGGAAACCGTGAATCGATGCGACCTACCAAAAATTTTCGGCTGACCTATATTCCGAAATCTGGCGAGCTCGTTTGTCATCGAGCCGAACAATGTTCCCAAAGGAACTTCTGCTTCTACCCGGTTCCCAACTTCTCTGAACGGTAGATCGCTTCGACAAAGAGTCGGTCCGTCCGATGAAACTTCGCGCGGAGAACACGTTTATGTTGATCCTCGTATTAATTCGTTTGAAATAATGTTGATCTACGATTGATTAAACAGCGAGAATGAATTTCCAATGGAGTTTTACTTGGTAATCGAGTGGAACGTAGGAGATATGGCTGCCGTTAGCTGTGCGAGATAGCGTGGCGGAGGTATGATTGAGTTTTACTACTTCAGGCGAGGAGAGGGAGCTCCGACTGAACGAGGCGAGCTTCGAACGAGCGGCCACGCTACTCCGGCGGGTTCCGGAATTCACTATAGCCGCCGCTCTGCGACAAGAGGAGGCCAATTCCGGGACAATCGTCGCCTTTTCACATGGGAACAATAGGTACACGGGATCACGCGTAATTTCATTCCTCGCGCCGCGTTCCACTCCATTCCATTCCCTTCATTCCGTTCGAACTATGCGTAAACGGAACACGTTCCACGCCTCTCTGGCATCGATCTCAAACATGTAATTTGTTTTCAAAGAAAACGCGTCAGCCTTTATAAATTATTTATGTTCTTTACTCGATAATTAATAAACACGTGACGAGATCGATGAGCCGAATTGTCTGTGCTTTTCGCTTTGTCCTTGTTCGTCTGAGGGTGTGAACGAAGTCAGAAAAGAAACGTCTTAAGGAAGTTACTGTGTCAATTGTTGGGAAAGCGAGAAACGGAGAGCACTTAACCCGAAAGTAGTCGCACCCTCGACTGGCACGTGAGTAGTGCAGTCTAGTCGTTTTGACCTGGCTGACACAAATTGGATGCACGACATCTACGTACGTGTCTACGTATTTAGACGGTAATTAACACGCTTCGCTGAGCGGAAACCACCGACGGAGTTTAGCCAGAATTAAACGTTGATCTCCACGGATCTAGAGATCTCCGTGAGATTGATTTTAATTGCCGTTGGACTGGCTCTTGGCCGATTTGCGCCAACAACTCTCGGTTCCATTTGTCTTTGATTCGAAGGACGAAGCGAAAGATTTTCACGATATTCATTGTCACGAATCAATTAGAAACTAACTGGAAGGTGCATGATAAGCGTGGAACGTCAACTCTCTAATTCAATCTAATTCCGTAGAGCATTCAATTTAGAAGATGTCGATCGATTTACGAACATTACTCGTGTCGCAATAGCTGTTGATCAGTTAATCCATTCGATTAAATTGGAATATCGTCGATTTTTAAACTGTGTTCGAGACGTCTGAATTAAAGTAAACGCTTGAGACACGATTTGGGAATTGCGAGGGTTTGAATTTTTGCGAAATTGTGGCAGATATTTGGAGCTGCAGAGCAGCGGTCGTAAGGACGAGCTACGGCTTCACTACGTCTCGCGTCGGGACGGTAGCGTCCACGTGGAGGCGTTTCCTTTCCGATTGGCCGACGGTGCCTGGCACAGGGTCGCCCTGAGCGTAAGCGGCTCGCAGGTCGAGCTGCTCGTCGACTGTCATCCCTTGTACAGGCGGTTGCTCAGGCCCGGACCACCTGACACCAATTTCACTCTGCCGCAGCTACAGCTCTGGGTCGGCCAGAGAAACGTCAGGCACTTTCTCTTCAAGGTACGACCTCTTTTCTCGTCGCTGTTCCTTCACCCAGTTTCCCAGTTTCTTACACCCCCGTTTCTCGCTTGAATCTAAAAATCGACTGAGACGAGCTCGTACGTTCGTGCGCCACAGGGTGCTTTGCAGGACGTGAAGCTGATACCGGGGCCCCATGGCTACCTCTCCCAGTGTCCCCAGCTCGACTCGTCCTGCCCTACCTGCGGTCAATTTTCTATATTACAAAACACGGTTGAACAGCTGATGCATAATCTGAACGAGTTAACGCGTAGGGTGAGTAGCCGGTCCGACGGGCCCTCGCGGGTGTCTTTTAGCGTTTGTTCATTGACGTCCTTCCTTTTAGCTAGCCGCTGCAGAGGGCAGGATAAGCAAGGTGGAGGAATGCGAGTGCCAAAAGTCCTGCAGAGCGAACGGCACCGTCCACGAGGACGGCGCGACTTGGGAGAAAGGCTGTCAGCAATGTTCTTGCGTCCACGGCGAGATCGAGTGCAGGCCGACGCCCTGCGCTCCCGCCACCTGCAAGAATCCTGTCATTCCTCAGGGACAATGTTGTCCCATTTGCTTGAGTATGTATCGATGATTAAGAGAGTTATCGCTCCGATTCTCGATTCAGCTACGAGATACGAATGTCCACAGAGCAATGTTACCTGCACGGGGTGATGTACGATCACGGTGAGAAAGTGTCGCCGAAACAGTGCGTCGAATGCAAGTGTTTCGACGGCAGCTTCACCTGTAAGAGATTCGACACCGAGACCAGGTGTCCGCCGCTGCCCTGCCCGCCGAGCGAGCAGATCAGCGTGGCCGAGGAGTGCTGCAAATTTTGTCCAGGTACCAATCTCTAATCATTTCGTGCGATTGAAATTTTGTCAATCCTTCGTACTAATTGTACGCGTGCATGCCATCGCGCATGCCGGCTGAATAAAGTGAATCTAACAATGAGAATAATAGCTTGATCCGATTACTAAAATGATTGCTAATTATTCTAACTGTCCCTGCATCCGCTAACCAAATTTAACCAGGGGTGGACTACTGCGCGAAGGGCCACAAGTGTCACGCTAACGCGTCCTGCCTGAACCTCCAGACGACGTACGCCTGCCACTGCGATATCGGTTTCCAAGGGGACGGTCATAACTGTCACGGTACCTAATGCTTCTAACTAATACTGCCTCTATCTTCGTTTATCCGTCTCGCTAGTGATCGCGTTTAACAGATCACGAATTCAATCCGTCGTACAGTTCGAATGATTGCTCGGATTAGTATAGATTTATTTTTAAGAACTGCATACTTGAAGATGTTCTTTGAATTTCGATGAGTGGACTAATTTTTTGGCCTCGACTGTAGCTGCGGAGGATCGATCGGCACGTTTCCGGCGATCGATCCTCCGCGATGAAATATGCAGAGGGTGGGTGTTGTGTTGACACACAATTCCGACGCGTTTGTACGTTCGTCAGATCGTCGATGATTGCGGTCAACAGAATTGCGGTTCTCGTTCTCTGTAATATTCACGACAGGTGCTTGACATTCTATAACGGAAACGTTCCCTCCCACGCAGAACTTTAAATCGTTTCTTTCATTAAACGAAGAAAAAATATATATATATATACATATTGGCGACACAGATGTAGACGAGTGCAAGCAGCAAGGTGGCTCCGAGGGCCATCACTGCAACGCGAACACTAAATGCGTGAACGTGATCGGGTCCTACACGTGCGAGTGTCTTCCGGGTTACCACAGAGTGGACAAGTTCAACTGCGCGGAGCTGGACGAGTGCGCGACTGGTCATCACGCGTGCGACGAGCACGCGACTTGCGTCAACACCGCGGGCAGTTACTATTGTATCTGTAAGGACGGCTACACCGGCGATGGCTACGCATGTAAACGTACGTCCATCCCTTAGAGTAAAATTGAATTCGGGAAATACTCGGTATCGCAACGGAGAATCTCTGTTCCTTGTGTTTAGCCGTTTGCAATCAGACCTGCCAGAACGGCGGCGAGTGCGTGGCACCGGGTAAGTGTTCCTGCCGACGCGGTTACATCGGGAACAGCTGCGAGCTCGATCTCGACGAGTGCGCGAGCGATCTGCACCGCTGCCACCAATCGTCGACCTGTTTCAACATGCCCGGTTGGTATTATTGCCGTTGCAAGCCGGGATACAGGAGCGCCCTGCACGACAGCACCCAGGGCACCCAGTGCCTCGACATCGACGAGTGCAACGATCAGACGATCGAGAGGAGGCACACCTGTCATCCCACCGCCAACTGCGTCAACACCGAGGGCGGCTACGAGTGCGTTTGCCCGCCTCAGGAGGACAATCACACTATGGTGGAATGTAGGCTGAGTAAGTTTGCCGCCGACCATTAACTGTTAGGGGACTCTCCCAACCGGTCCGCTTAGTTTGTCCAGCAATTAACCTCGTTCGATAGTGAAAGAATAACCGTGCGACAGGTTGTTGGTTCGAGAATCGGGAGTTGAAGAACGGCGAGACCCTGGCGCCGGCGGGGAACCCTTGCAGGAGGTGTACGTGCAAGGACGGCGTGATCACTTGCAGGGATCCCATCTGCGATTGCAGCGCGCCCGGAAGTCACAGAGATAAATGCTGTCCGCAGTGCGACCCGGCGGCCTCCTGTAGGCATCAGGAACTTCACCACCTAGTCTTCAGGAGCGGGGAACGATGGATTTACCAATGCCAGACATGCGAATGCCTGGTAACTATTCGTCTTAAATTTCCGTTTCACTCGTTTCCTCACCGGAGCTCATTTTATTACATCGAGAGTCGGGATCTGATTGCTTTCAGTACGGCGAGATAGACTGCTGGCAGATGGAGTGTCCACCGGTCACCTGTTCGAATCCCGTCACGGAGGACGGCGATTGTTGTCCCCGTTGCGAGGACGATCCCTGCGCGAGGGAATTGCCCGGAAACGGTACTTCCCTCTCGATTCTGACCAGACCCAGACCCTGCAGCTACTCGGGGATCATCCACGACAGCGGCAGTTCTTGGCAGGACCCGCATGACAAGTGCACCACGTGCGAGTGCAAGGTAAGAAGGACCTCCGGCCCCCTTCGCCGACTAAGGGGACCGAGGAATCGTCGGTCCCGCAGGATACGGATAGTATAGGGGGGGGGGGGATTCGTGTGGGAAGCGAGGCGCGAACCGTGTCGGAGAAACGCTCTGGCCTTGATGAGAATCATTTTCATTTAAGAAAATCGATATTTCAATTCGACTCGAACTCGTCGTTCAAACGTGATTTGCTCGATTCGGGGAAGATAGCGCTACGAGCTCAAGTAGTGTGGCCACGCTCGTTTACACGGAGCAGATACCGGTACAGTAGAATAGGAGCGTCTTGGTCAGACGCCGCGCTCCCGTTTCGCGCCTTCTCACACGAAACCGAGAGCTCAAGGTCAGTAAATGAATAGAGAAAGAATAAGTATCGTCTTCGTGGGTCTGTAATGTGTCTGATCAGTTGCGTTCGCTGTGGTACGTGGAAGCAACCATGTATAATTTAAAAAAAAAATCGCTGTACCATAATATACGCGTGGCGGATCGATCCGCTCTTCTCGCAATATTAACTATGCTTACATTCTGCATGGACGTGACTAACTTCGATTCAGACTTTAATTATATTCCTCTGACGTCAAATTTTTTGATCGACCGCCACTCGTAAGTCATTCACCGGCATATAAATATACTTGTTTTACTCTCGCTCTTTTTTTCTCTATCTGTTTTCGTCTCTTTGTCATTTGTTTAAACGCGTCAGTTGGGTAACACTCGTATAGTACAAGATACCCAGATCACAGTATAAGAAAGAACAGTAGGTTCATTCTGTGAAAGAGCGTACTAATAATTAAATCTTGCGTATGATAAAATCGAATAACGCAGGACTAATCGATTGATTAATTCGTTTATCGTCAATTATTCCTTAACGAGTGGACTTCGGAGGAAATTGCATGCAACCTTTTTTGTACCTTGAAACATTTCGCTAGCGAACAGAAGTTGTAGCTCTAGTGGTCAGCTACAAAAGAGTTCTTATGCAATTTTCTGGTAAGCCCAACGGTGTAGGAGTATTTGAGGAGGAACGAGAATTTCAAAGAATCTGAAGGGGAAAGTTGAAAATTTCTTTTCTTGAAAAATGCTTCAAATAAAAGTTGTTTTTCATCTAACTTCGATATTTAACGAGTTAACTATGATTAATCGGCATTTTATGGGTACTGACAAAATTCGACCGTCCCACCGTCGAAACAGCCAACTTTTGATAAAAAATTTCGTTTTTCCTCAATAACTCCTAAACTGTTAGACTTACGAGAAAATTGTATACAACCTTTTTTGTAGAGGACGACGAGATCTACAATTTCCATATAAAAGTTTTGCGCTACCATTAATATTTAATGAGTTATTGACGAAAAACGAAAAAACAGTTTTTTGCAAATTACTCGTTAACTATTGACGCTAGCGAAAAATTTTTATATGGAAATTGTAGATCTCGTTGTCCTCTATAAAAAAGATCTGATGCAATTTTTCCGTATGTCTAACGGTTTGAGAGTTATTGGCCAAAAACGAAAATTTCGCAGAATCTGAAGGGGTACCCCTTGGAAAAATCTCAAAAAAATTGAAAAATTTTTTTTTGTCAAAATATCGAAGAATGCTTCAAATAAAAGTTGTAGATATTGCTATTACTTGAAAAAAAGGTGGTATACAATTTTCTTTCTTATACTGTGTCCAGATGCTGACTCGCATTTATTTCCAGTATGCCATTTATTTTTTGCGGTTCGTACATCGCGATCTTGCAAGGCTATCGCTAAAATTCTCGTCTTCCTTACGCCGAGAGAATATTCATTAAGACGCAGTAATCAATTTTTATCACGGAATTAGCCTGAAATTCTGTTCGAATTTTAACTGAATTTTCCAATCTGGCAGTGGACCGTGTCAGATGTTTACGAAATTCTCTCGGCGTAAGCTATCATTGCGTCGTGCTAGTCTTGTGGTTAATGCGAATTATCCGAGGCTGTATTCATCACTTGTAAATTACTTCAATAATTTGTATCTGTCTACTCTGGCAGTACCAGCGTACGAGACACGTTCAGGGGCGCCCCTAAGTTGGCCTAATAGATCATTATTATTATTCTATATGTAATTATTTTCGTTGGCTGCCTCGCACGCGGCAGTGTTCATTATTATTCTAATTATTGTTCCATAGTCTTATATACACCATCGGTAAGAGATACGAGATTCCTAATTGGGCACCGTATATACGTATCTGTACTTAATATATTTTACTGCATGCCGACGATCAAAGTAATTCACGTACTATACGTAAACGTAGAGAAATAACTCGTTGTTACATTACATTAGCTATACTGTAATTATTTTAGTAGTGACAGTTGTTGATTCTATTTTATTTCGTTTTTTCCCCTCGCTTACTACGAATCGGTGGAAACGATCGGGACATCCCCTTGCAATCGGCGACGACGTCACTTTATATCGTTTCGCCGAGGATATTTATAATCTTCATTGATAATTTAATAGATTGAACACTGCCGCGGTTGATAAATTTTCGGCGCTCATCGAGACCAATTCCCATCCGATTTTTGCGAGAACTTCGGGTCGGCCCTGCATGGATCGTGTTCAGTAACCCCGACTGGCAACGATTAATTGAGAGTGGTTTCGACTAACGATCTCGACCTCGTCGATTCGTTTCCGTCGAATCTTCTGAACCAGAAAATGATCTTAGAACATGCGAAATGAATCGACGAGAAGGGATGAGATTGACTCTTAAACAGCGAAAACGAATGTTGTGTAACTGTGAAGTCTCTCGACAATCCCGTCATTAATTATGTCATAACACATATACATGCGTGCAACGCACACATATCCGTCCGTGACAACTAACCTAATTAGCCTAACGATGGGTATCCTTGCAGGTGCCGTACTGCGCCCAATTGGTGAGCAATAGCGCGTGTTGTGTGCATCGGTAATCACGTCACTTCTACCTCACCTATAATCTTCTCTACCCGCCTCTTACTTCTTTCATTTTTTATTCATTTCTTTGATTAACGATGTCTGTCGATTAATTGTTAGCGTTTCTTTTAATTACCGTCCACGAGCTCGAGTGCATCTGTCCTGCCTGCTTTTTCTGATTAGCACTTTGGTACTCATTTTCTTTCTCTCGCTTTCTTGCCCTTCGTCTCGACTCTGTGTTTGTAAACGTTTAGATTTAACTCGATTAGAGAGAGTAATTTATGTCACCCTGGTTCGTTCGTTCGTACGTAGAGAGGGTCTCTAAATAAAATCACCGCACGCTGGTCGTCTTGGTCAGGCTTCATTTTTTCATTCTCTTGCGTTCAATTGCATTCCCCAGTCGTCTATGCCACGTGGATTCATTTTTAATTCGTAATCATAAGATATTGATCAAAGATTAATTATATTCGTACGTTACGGGGTTGGAATAATTATTTTCACGACAAGTGGCATAGATCGACGATGGTACCGGCAGTAAGAAAATTTAATTCCACGGGTGAATCGCGAGCACGTCGCATGTTTCATAATTTTTCTTGATCGATCTGAAACAGAAAATCAGAAGAAATCCAGAGATCATGATCTTATGATTATAATAATCTCAAATAGTCAATATTCTCATTAAATTTTGTTTGTACATCGTTTTTATTTGAATTGAAAAAAGGAAATGAATTATATGAAGTTGAAGTTTCGCATCGAATTAACTTCAGTCCTTAAATCTTTCGAAATGAAAAATATTAGATCGATCGGTCAAGATCCTTCATTCCAACAAAATGGCTGAATGCACGTTTACAAGGATTCGCATGCACCGTCTCACTCCATGGCTCTTTACTAACTAAAAGCTCGATCAAAGTATTGGAGAACGCACATTCTATTGCAAATAAAAGAAGAAGGAAATCAGTTTAGAATCGGTCGGGGCGCACGACGCACGTGGTGATAGACACACAAACACACACACACATACACAGATTGCATTTTAATTCGTTCTTTATTTTTTTTTATTCTTATTATCATTATTGTTATTATATTATTATCATTATTATTATCATTATTATTATTATTATTATTATTATTATTATTATTATGGTTTCGTTACACTTGAGCCTCTTTTGCACCCTCCTCTGATTTGCATTCGAAATTCGATAGAAAACACCAGAGTCTCTTTTCTCTGTATATCGAATTTCATCCAGCAACGATTTTGGCAAAAGAAATAATTCCATAGCTGATCGAACCGGATGTATTGTCGATGAACTTTAAACTTGTTCATGACATCGACTAAAAATCGTGTACTGTGATGATTTGCCAAAACCGTAAGTGGAAAATTGTGGTGGCCGAGATAAGGCTCCGACAAGGTGGATACATAATATGGATATTCATTGTTTTAATTCCTAAAGCATGATTATTATTGTCATGAGTCGTATTCTTGTTAACTTGTGCACGTAATAACGATAATGCATCGTGCAAGGAAAAGTTGGGTCACCCGGAAACGTCGGAACGAAAAAAGTTGGTCGTCCGTCAACGAAACAATGAATTACATACTATGTGGAGGACCTTAGTAATCGCTCCGCGGCGCGAAAAGTCTTGGACCGACGTTTAGACGTCTTCGTAATTTCATTCGAGAAACTCTCAAACATTGCGACGTATACATTTGCAAGTTACACGCAGAAGGTGCGCACTTTTCGTCTCGTTAACAAGTTCCCTCATTACGTTCCAATGAACAATTCATATTTGAACTGTTAGATGATTAGTTACGAGCACTCGACGCAAATATTCCTGCTTTCATTTATCTCGCACCGCGACGCACTGAACACGCGCACGCGTGCCAAGACTTTCCGCGACCGGTCGAGCATCCGAGATCTAAAGAAATGATTAAGAAAGAAAAAAAGAGAACGGAAAAGGGCGAAATCAAGCGAAGCAGAGAAAGAAAGAAAATCGCTTGACTGCCGTTCGTTCCGCGGTTCGCTAACCCAGTGTGAAACGAACCTCTCCGTAGGACGGGCAGCTATGCTGCAGCTACGATTACGGCTGCGCTGGCGATCTGGGCAGCGACGAGCACCAGCAACGTCCTCCAGTCGTTGTTCCTGAGCCTCTCGTTAGCGGTCTACAGGATCCTGCGGGGTCAACGATGGCTAACGGTGCACCGGAAGCAGCTGTATCAGCGGTTACCGCTTCCGGCGGCTCCAGCAGCGCACCGGTCACCGCCGCCTACCTCCTGTCAGCCTCGTCTTCTTCCTCCGTCGCCGCGGGCGGTCCCTCCGCCAGGAAGGGACACTGGGACACCCTGCAGAACACCTTGCCAAGGTCGTCTCAACAACAGCAGCAGAGGGACGACCGTCGCAGAGCACAGCTGCAAGCTCTACCTACAGCCAGGTACCAGCTGCCCACCGGACCAACGACGACGTCGTCGTCGGCACCTGAACGCCCTGCACTTGCGTCGCCGTCGCCGGCGACGACGGCCAAGGCTCCGATCAAGCACGAGGCAGCATCGCGACGTCGCGCGAAACCAACGAACAACGCCAGCATCTCGAATCGCAACGCGTCCTCCTCGGCTTCCTCATCGTCCTCGCCGCCCTTCGCGATTCTACCGTCTGCCTCGAGCCCCGACCCACGAGCGGACAGGATCTCCACCACTAGCAGCAGCGGCAACGCTAGTGAGAACGTCACTAACAACAATAATTACCGCCAGGGCGGTCGTAATCGGCGCAGCGGGGAACCTGTGGCCGCCACCTGAGGCTGACGCTTCCGTCGACAGCTAGAGGAGACAGAAATCAACTACTGGCAACGCATTCCAAGGGGTGTAGCCCGACGTAGGAGCGAGCAAGCGTTCTCCGTCGGTCGATCGGGGATCGACGATCGCTGAATCAACGGAGAGTCCGTGGGAAGGTCGGGAACTCGATCGAGGATCATGGACGACGACGGCGAAAGGATTTTCGGGACGATTTCATCGTGACGAGGCTTCGGGAAAATTTGCACGTGCCAAAGACACGAGCCTGTTCGGAGAAACTCTGCTAGTTTCATATTGGGGAACGAAGGAGCCCGGTATCCGTCGTTGTCGCACTCGCTTCCTCCTCGCGATTCGGCGCTGGGTCAAGCATAACGCGCGAGTGTCAGAGAGAATCGAGAAACTGAGCCCGCGACATTCTACGTATTCAAAGCGGTGTTCCGTGCCGCGAGCGACACGCGCTTTCACGATTCCTTCTCCGGCGTAATTTCCATGTTGAACAGGTAGCGCACAATATTTGGGCCTTATAAAACGATTATAAAGAAACAAAAAAAAAAAGAGAAAAACGAGAAGAAAGGGTGGCGTCAGCCTAAAACCGTGCACCGCGATTCGCAAAACGTGTTCCCTATGTTTTTACGGTGAGGAGAGCAAAATACACGCGCGGATAGAAGCTAGTAATTATTATCATAAGGAATTGAATATCCCGACGTGACGGCGGAAAGAAATATGGAAACGAACGACGTTATATTATTGTATACATAGGAAAGCTCCGTAAATATACGTATATACTTATCGATACACGCGGACATATATACATATGTATATTATATAAATATATATATGTATACGTTGTATATTGGACGCAGACGCGAGAAACGATTCTATTTAGCTGGTGAATCTCGTCGATTGTATTATTACTATAGAGAATAAAAATACACGTACACACGGTCGAACAGAAAATATTCCACGATGGATATATTAGATCATATCTCGTGACAATATAGTTTGAAACGCGCGATATATGTGTGACATATACCGAGGCGGACGGTGTAGAGCTCGTCTCGGCGGACAAGGTGGACGAAAACAAGTAAACGTGTAGTCTTTACGCTTGAAACGTTAAAGTTTAAGGATCGTCGTTTACGTATTTAGACTATAAACGCAGTGACACTCCGAGAATTCGAGAGAGAGAGATAGGTGACGCGTTTCTCAGTTTCTCTGGTTCTGGAACGCGCTGGCTGGTTCATGCCTGATCCACACAAACACGTACAGACATACACACATAGTTTAGCCACCGTAATTAATTATGTTTAGTCGTGAAAACATCGGACGATGAACGTGCCGACTCGCTCGAATTCGGATTCGTTATTCTCGCTCAACCCGACGCGACCACTACGAAACTACATTCCTCCTTGATTAACAATAAGTAGGCACTAAAAATGAGAGAAACATATATGAATATAAATATATATATATATAAATAAATGAATGCGAAGAGAATTATGGACAAATGATTAATACGAGACGGAATAATAAATGAAAGAATCTCTATATATATATCTATATATATATATAAATATGTACGAAGGAGAGGCGCGAGTCTATATATTAATGTACGTGATACATATGAATGAAAAATTGGTGAATCAATTACTGGCTAAGCGGGATTTGTGTAACACGCATTCGTAATCGTTTGTTCAATGTGCAATTACGTAAACTGGAACGGCTTAATTTCTATAAAGGTGGTACTTTTAATCACGTGAAGTGGTGGACACTCTGACAGTCCTTATTAAAAACCATGGTCGTCGCTCTCGTCGCAATTAATTTCTAAATATGACTTTTCCATGAAATTGAAATTTTTGTACGCAACCATTGGCCTTCTTACGACGGCAACGGAACAGCGACTGACCACGTGGTTCTAACATCTGGTCAACGGGCGTACGGGTGCGCGCCAACTTTTTTTACACAAGAATATAGTTTTCCATCGCGAAATGATAAGAACGCACGTGAGTAGTTCCTCGAGATAAAAAGAATCGGTGACGAACCTCGTGCGCTCGGACAAGAATAATGAACGAACGGAGTGACCGAAGGAGATGATTGATTACCGAGAAAATATTGATCACGCTACTGTATATATTACATAGGACGTGTAACGTTATAGCGACAACCTATTATCCACGCATATTATACATACGACCGTGCGACTTTTTCATTAATCAATGACTATTAACGACACCGAATTTAACGACGAAAGGGTTTACGGTGAAGGATGATGGACGACGAGGAGAGATAGAATCAAGATCTACATTGAACTGCTCTCTCTTCGAGTCATTGAAAATTACTCATTCGTTCGCTCACTCACTCTCTCTCTCTCTCTCTCTCTCTCTCTCTCTCTTTCTTTTTCTCTTGTTCGACGTTTCCCAGAGTTTCGGGGGAACAGAACGAAGAAATCGGGCGTATCGTAAACTAGCATACAATTAATTGATAAATAAAATAGAACCGTATTACCTATCGTATTAACTATCGTGGTTAAGAGCATTTACGACGAATTAATCTATTGGAGGGTTGCGGGGAGGAGCACGGGGAAGGACGAGCCTAAATATCTTATACGTATGTAAGCGTTCGGCACAAGAATCGAAACAGTGATCGTCGACGATTAAAAAGAAAAAAGAGAAGATGCTGAGTATTAGACTGCGAATTTTGTGTGCTCACAGAAAGACCTGGTACAGAGGATGCGTGTAATCACGTGTCTATAAATACAGATTATTTTTGGAGGGTAACAGAGACTTAAAGTTAGACTTGATTTCTTAAATTGATATCGCAAAACAGTTTCGTTCGGCACGAAAATCCGCAGTCTGTCGATCATTGAAGAACGTTATCGTTTGCGTGGCCGTAAGAGGAGAGGAGGAGACGAGTGGAATGCCCCGTTGCCAGTTTCCCAATTTCGTACTAACGCCTATAATAACGTAACGATAAGATTATCCTAGTAAAACGACCCCCGAGTCTTGGCCTAGCGACGTTCAAAGGATTCCATGTTCAGAGCTTTTCAAGAGGGAGAACAAATTTTAACGGATCTCTTTTATAAGTAGAGATAAATAACGGAGACTGACAGACGAGTCTATGTAGCTTAATTTTTAAAATACCTATTTTATAGAAGTAACGTCGGAAGGAAAGAAGAGCAATCGTTTGATTTTTGAATCGTGCGTCTATCGCGAGAATGGAATTGAACAGAATCGACCTGGCATCGTGGCATTCGTCCGCCATCATCCGTTCGATTTTCGACAGGATAGCGAGAAGAGGTATCGCAGATCAGGTAGGATAGATAGGCCGGTAGATAGATAGATAACTGAACACGGGTCGGCGATAGGCAGAGCCGAAGTCACGTTACCAATAGCGGAAACTAACTTGCGTATAGTGTTCACTCGTTGTTCTTCGTACTTTTCGGACAGACGGACACGCCAGCGGCAAAAGAACGAGATAAACGTTTTCGGAGCTTCGATGGAACCGAAGAACCGTTTGTAAAAGAAGCGAGAGGGATAAATTGTAGTTAAGAAACAGCGAAGAAAAAAAGAAACCAGTCGGGAGGACATCTTTTATAGCGTTACCCAATTATTAATAACAGTTTTATCACGTTACTCTTGACTACCGTCTAGTTAACGCCTAATTATACCGAAGTAACTAACTACACAACGACTAACTAGTAAGCGCTTGTTAAATTAAACGAGAGAGTTAACGAACGTTCTAACCGCAAGCAGCCAGCCTAGTCCCAAGTTTAAATCTGTGCTAACACGTAGACGATACTACCGTTGCTATCTACTGGCACTAATAATTGTTATACCGTCATGGTCACCGGTTTCGTTCGGTTCCGTCGCGACCACGCCATTACGTCCCGTTCTACCTTTTGAACGAGCCGACCGAGTCGTGGAACAATCTCCTCGGCGATATTCTAAAACGAGTTTTCTTAACATTCGCTCATCCAGTCGATCTGTCATTGTCATCGTTTTCGATCGTCAGAGCGACAACGCAGCGGTCGTTATCAATTGTCAGACGAATCGAACGAACCGCTAGCGTTACATTGTCTCGATGCTAATGGCTCACAGGCTTCTGTCCGGATCAGACACGAATCTCGAGTTTTTCACTGTTAACACGATTACGCCAGTGAGCGATTAATTTATTGCAAATAATACTTTGTCTCAATTTTTATCTCGTTATCAAGTACACACGGTCGATTCGGTTTTTGTCACGATTGTTTTATCGCGTCGTAGCCTCGTAAATTATTCCTTTATCTTGAGCTATTTTCACTGACACTAATAATGTACATTACATATTACATAATTATTATTAGCATTCTGTAAGTACCCGGTGACAGCATTGTCTACGTAATTGTTTAATTTGAATTACAAAGTCGAACTAATTGGCCTATCTATACATCAAAATTAATAGGTTGCATTAGGAATTGCAAATCGGATAGTTACGTGACAGTAAACGTCAAAAAACCTCAGTCATCTAATTTCGAGCGAGTGATATAATTTGATTGACGGTTTTTTTTTTAAATGGGGCGAGATTTAGAATGATTCGTGCAGAGATCTGTGAGCCGGCGCAATGGTCACTGCCGGGACTGTCATCTTCATCTCGAATCATTCGATCAGGGTACAGGCGGCCGACGCGGCCAAGTCGGCTTACCGATTGTTAATCACTAACTACTACTAAAAAGAAACTGTCGCCGTTGACGACGCGATCGTTCTTCTTTTCGTACGCTGAAACCGAGACCCACGGACTGGGGAAACGCGGAGGACCTTTCATTTCTTGTCCTTCCTCTTTGCTCCATTTTACTTTCAGTCTTCGATCAAATTCATTTCTACCGATCGAAATTACACGTCGAGCTGATAGGAAACCGAGTCCAGGATCTCTTCTATAGTCATAGTTCCTACTTTCATCCCGGCAAATTACGAGTCCCGTTTGAGAAACGAACGCTCAGGCCTAATCTTACCGAGATTAATCGACCGAAATTGATGATCCCTAGTTCGTCGTAGATCGAACCTTCGCCCGGCACGAAACGATGGAGCGAACCGTTCATGGACCCGATCATTTCCTATCAGTAATTAATTCAGTTTGAAGCCGCCTACGTTATCAGGAAGACAAAAGAGAACCGCTATCGTTTCGAAGGAGAAAAGGGCTTCGCGGCGACGACGTCCATCACGTTTCCATAGCTTGTTGTGCGACGAATGTTTCTATGTACGTGTAACTATAAAAACTCGATAGCTTACGACTTGGGACGGATTCAGACTCGAATATCAAAAGGTGGGAGATGAAACGCCGTTTCGAAATTCATTTTTCTCCATTGATTCGCGGAAACGTTGCGTCGTTCAAATAACAAATTTCGTTTGTTTCTTTATATCAGTATTCGTTTGTCCACCATCCGAGAATCATCTGGATCCGCCCACGCCTACGAATTACTGTAACGGTACAGCGCAAGGGTGTTGATTTTTCTAGTCAGGTTTACGATTATATAAATAATTTTACGTTGGCACACGCGGTCGATTTTCACACCGCTGTGCGTGTATGAAATATGTAAGATGTATCTTCCCTTCTCTCTCTCTCTCTCTCTCTCTCTCTCTCATTTTCCTCTCTATCATTTTGTTCTTTATCATTTCGAGCCGAACGCGGCTCGTCGCGTCGAGAGTATGATTAATAAACAGACGAATAAAAAAGAAAACAAGCGACGGCAGATAAGATTTCGATTTCTAATATATTAATTACGAATTAATTATTATCATTGTAATTCTTACGATTATCTTTAATTATTATGATTACAGTTATCGATTGATTGATTGAATGCCTACCATCGTCGATTATTAGTTAAACTACCACTACAGTCATATAATACCTTTGTAAATGAGAATCAAGACACTGACGGCTAGGGAAAAAAAAACTTAATAAATTGAAATTCTATTAACCTAAACGCATTTCCGTTGTTATTCCGACGCCCACGCAACCACTGCTTCTCCTCCCTTCGTTTCAACTATGAATGTCAACGGATCTATTGTACGTTTCGGCTTGGGTTATCGTTTCGAATCGTTCACTATTGTACAGTTGCCGAAAGAGACGAATTTAGGAAGAGGAAAATCATTCTTTTGTAAGGCACAGGCCAGTTTACACGTATTTTATATCGGAAACGAACCGAGGTTTCTTCGTTCATATCCGGAGATCCCGTATGACACAAATCTTTTGGAACGAGCGAGTCATATAAAAAATTCCAATTACATGTGTGCACGCGTGGTATAGATAAAAAATTGTGGGTTCATAAGAGGATCGTTTCCACCCCCATAGTACGAGTGGGACCATCGTATGGGACACATGGGCACAACGTTCTCCAGGTAGCGGGAAATGAAGAACCGGAGTGCAGGGATTCCTGTTCCTGCACTGTTAGCGATAAAATTACAATTTAGGAAGGAAGAATAACGCAACACATGAATGTCAGCGCATATCAGCGATGTTATCGGTAAGAATACCAAGTCTGCCTTTTGGCTGTTGGCGACGATGCGTCGGCTGCGCCAGTCGTCTACTATCGGCCGATCGACGCAGTCCGTGCGACATTAACAAGGAGCCTAATCATCGCAGGAGTATGACTATGCCGAGCGTTATAAATCTGACCGAGGCGAGCTTGGACCAGCTGCGAGCGTTCTTTGACTCGTTCGACATCATTCTGTCGGACTGCGATGGCGAGTTTTCATTGATATTTCGCGAACCATGGAGATTACTCATCGAGAACTCCTTAAGGTGGGCTCCCACTTGACGAACGTTCCTCCTCGGCCGCAAGTTCAAAATTGAGGAACGGAGAACCGAATGTTCGTTAAGCGGAAGCTTTAGAGTCTGTACGGTTCCCACGATTTCGACCGATATCTGGCTGAGCTGGAATGGTTGTTTGTCGTCAGGAGTCATATGGTACCTGGAGAAGCCGATCCCCGAGGCCATGAAGGCGGTCACCATGCTCCAGAACATAGGAAAGAACTTGTATCTGGTGACTAACAATGGCACGATAAGATTCAATCGATACTGCGAGAAGATGCGGCAAAACGGGCTCGACATTAAGCCGGTGCGTTCATTGGTCTCGCGTAATGCATATTAATGGTCACTTATTCAGAAGATTCGGGGAATTTGCGCATAGAGGAGAGCGCGGTTCCGGGATCACTAAATTCTTGCTGCTTGGTAAAAGGCGAGCCTGTGTCTGATTCAGAGTTTCATGTACGACGGAAGTTGAAATATATTTAGTTAACAATATCTTGTATTCATGAACTTGACATCATTCGGTCACTATTTTTAACACGTTATCACGGACCTCAAACATGATCGCGCATATCGTTACTACTACTTTGTCACTACTATGTCGTTACTACTATTTCGTCTAATTATTATTTATTGCTCTACTGGAGAATAAACTCCTTATGTGTCTTCTGTATACACGTAAATGTTCATCTATTCGTAATTAATTGTCTATTATAGGATCAGGTTATAAACTCCTCGAAAGTGATCAGCTGGTATCTGAAGAAGATTCAGTTCACCGGCGAGGCTTTCGTGATTGGTTCCGCGGCTTTGCAGGAAAGATTGATAGAAGATGGAATCACTGTGATGCGAGGACCCGTGAGTATTCAATCAAGTCTCGAGTTGTTCTCAATCTTTCAAACCGTTTATAAAAAAATATGTAACCGTTTATAAAAAAATAATACTTTGTCACTACTATGTCGTTACTACTATTTCGTCTAATTATTATTTATTGCTCTACTGGAGAATAAACTCCTTATGTGTCTTCTGTATACACGTAAATGTTCATCTATTCGTAATTAATTGTCTATTATAGGATCAGGTTATAAACTCCTCGAAAGTGATCAGCTGGTATCTGAAGAAGATTCAGTTCACCGGCGAGGCTTTCGTGATTGGTTCCGCGGCTTTGCAGGAAAGATTGATAGAAGATGGAATCACTGTGATGCGAGGACCCGTGAGTATTCAATCAAGTCTCGAGTTGTTCTCAATCTTTCAAACCGTTTATAAAAAAATATGTAACCGTTTATAAAAAAATATGTAACGCCTAAAGTTTTGTCATTGTTTCAAGAGTAAATATTTAGCTAGACGGTGTTACGCAAATCTCATGATCCATGAATTAATCGTTTCTATTGTTTGTGAAAGATAAAAGAACGATCGTGATAAAAGGATTAGGCAATGAATGAAACGATGTCACTTTGTTCTCCGTTAGCCTAAAGTTTATGACGACGACGTAACCGGAACATTGCGGGCTGTTCAAGATCAGCCATCGATCAAAGCAGTGATCGTCGACTTCTGTCCATTCTTCGATTGGCCAAAATTAGCACTTGCCATCACCTGTCTCCAGAGAAAAGATGTTCTTTACATCTGCGGCGCTCAAGACGAGTGGGTCGTTCACGGTCTAAATAAGAAGGTCATAGGTACACGAGTTTTAAGTATACGTGCACTTCATACTTAAAAGTTGAATTTTTTAAGCTACGAAAGTCATATTAAGTTTTTCACGCGTATTGTTTCACTCTGATATCAAATAAGAAACTCTTATTATCGGATTCTTTTAGGTCCCGGTCCTTTGATCAGCATAATTACTAAGTACAGTGGGAGGACTCCAATCGAATGCGCGAAACCTAGTGAAATATTGAGGGACTATATCATGGACACTTTGGATGTGAAAGATCCAAAGAGATGTTTGTTCATTGGCGATACGTAAGTGTACCGAAACAAAATATTCCTTTTTTAAAATTTGTACAAGAATTCATTTAATTCTTTCTGGTATTTTAGAATTAATTATGATATGAAATTTGGAACGATGTGCGGGTTCCAAAAACTGTTCGTCAGCACGGGCTTGGATAGTATAGAGAACGCGACGTTGAACGAGAGCACGCGACCGGATTTCTATGTTCCGAGTTTGGAGTTGTTACAACCGATCATTAATTCACTGTATAATTCCACGAACGGCAAGGGCGAAAATTGATGACGTCGTGGCTTTAGATTAACAATTGTTAGGTGAATTTTCAAAGCAAAGGTTTCGATTAACCTTCTCGCTTAAGATGGTGGTGAATAAATTCTATTTCGTTTTGTAAAAATATTTCTCACTTGGAATCCACCCTTATAAAAATGTATAGAGAATTGTTAAACTATTTAAGCGAAGCGCAGTGCCTGTGACTGTACAATAAACAATATACAAAAAAATAGACTGAGACTGTTTTCTGTCATCCCTCCGCTGACTATTTAAGTGATGACATTTATGACTCCAATTTCTAAGTTACGATTCATCGCTAAATTCGTAGCTTAGGTCATTTGTATTCTACAACATACTTCAATAGATATCTTCTTAAATGTATATTGTTTAACGTCAATTTATTTAATGACTTATCCACCAATCCTAGAATGATCAATTCTGGCCTTTGATCCAAAATAATGGCTTCAGACAGTAGATGCGTTGGAATTGACAAGTGGCACTTGGGGTGAACAGGGTAGTGAACTAAATTTTCAACCCCCGATTCAACCCTTCCATCGGTAAGGGATGCCAAGTTTAAATTAGGCAACCTCAATTTTTGAGATTGAGATATTTTTATATCGTTTTAGAATTAACAATTGTTTGACACTCGTCTCAAATTATACGTCGAGAAAATCGGATACAGAGACTAAACAATAGAATGTAAGATTTGCAATTCCGTTTAAATAAATAATATAAAAGAATACTACAAGTTAATACAATGGAGAATCTTGTAATTTCATACTATTTTCGAGCTGCGGTCGATGACCCACACGCATACGTTTCTTGTCGACGACTGACAAACGGCGCACGATCGTCGACGACGAAAGCTTGCGCGCTTAATTCCCGTGAGGAGAGTAGGGAGTCGCGAGTATCAGTCGATGGTCGCTCATCCCGTTTCGATTCCACCTCCGTCGAGTGCTGATCGTCTCTGGACTCTGAACACGGGCAAGCGCCTCGAGCCCTTATCAAAAACGAGTGGGAGAAAAAACGGTGGGAGGCCGTGGATTGCATAATAATCGAGCCGCTCTCAGAAATGAGATAGAACCGCGGTCGGACGAGGAACGTCTCTCTGTTTCGAGTGTGCCGGAAACTTCGGGGATCATGCAAGGACATCCGGTAGGCGCATACAATTTCCTACTTCCGTGTGTCAAGTGTCGTGCAATTTTAAGATCGAGGGTGACGGTCTTAGCGAAAGCGTTGAAGTTATTTTAATTTTATTGCGAAGTGTCTAGATATTTTGAGGGACAGTCTTCTAATGCCAGAATCCTGATATTCTTGTGACACGACAATGAATTTGGGTCACTCGATCGAGACTATTAACATAATATATCGCATTGAAATCGAGGAGAACTCGTTTCGGTGAAGTAATGAGAGAAGCGGAAATTTTGTAGCCAGAGCGAATTTATAGTGATAACGAGCCAACAGTAAATCGATTAGTCTCCTGATAATATTTTCAGAAGTGATAAGTAGTCGGTTTCGAACGAATCGCGTGAGCAAGAAACAGCAACGAAATGAATAAGCCGACTTACTTAAGCCTCTTTTCACGAAGAATTCGATTAGGGAACAATGGCACGATGTTCGATTGCCACGGCACGTGTTCGACTTCAAATTTCTCGTGCGGCAGCTCGTTTTATAACAGGCATGCAAATCGACTATAGCTATGCCGAGTTAATTTACATACTATGCATCGGTGTTATCAATTATAATGAAAGTCTTCGCATTAGATAATACTTATCTAATTCGTCATAAGGAAAGCAGAGTAATGCCCTAAATAGATAGAGTATAATAAGATAATGACATAATTTTGTATGAAAAGTAACTGGAAACTAAAACTAAAACTTGAAATAATTATTTAATCGAAGTCTGATCTATTTTACAGGATTGGCGATCGACCATCGCGGTTACATGTAGTTTCGTAGTTATCCTCGTGGCCGTGGTGTGGACCGTGAGGAAAGACAGGAAGCGAAAGGAACCCGAAGCAAACGATACGAAAGAACCTGAAGCCGTAGATAATGGAGGAACTGAAATAAACTACGAGGCGAAATCGGATCCCGAAGTTGAATGTACGGAACAAGTAAAAGAGGAAACGACTCCTGAGTTACCAGATCTGAAGTGGTCTAAAGTGGGCCAAATTCGGGAGCTGTACGTGTACCCATTGAAATCTGGACGTGGCAAGAACGTGAAGGAATGCGACTTCACGGAATATGGGATCAGTATCGAGGAGACGGGGAAGTTCACCCTGAAAGACAGGTAATAATCAGTCGTTCAATACTTTTTTCTTTGAATTTATGATACATCGCAAGGGTTTATGCATATTATATATAATTTTTCTCTTGCATTTCATTCATTATTAGAGGAAAGACAAATGTTTTACATATCCATTAAGTAATAAGAAAGAGCTCTAATAAGCAGAGCTCTTTCCCGAAAGAGCCGAGGAATGAAGCCCGCCGCTGTTCATCAGAATGTTTCTAGTGTACAATGAGGAGACCGGACGATTCCAGACCAGCAGACAATACCCGACGTTGATCCTGGTCAGTTTGTCGTCGGTGGACGAAAGCAGAGTGAAGTTGGAGGCCGTGGGAATGGCCAGCGTGATCTTCGAGGTGCCGAAGTATTTGGAGAACGCAACCGAAGCCGTTCAGTGCTCCATGTGGTGGGGAGAACCGGTCAAGTGTATCGATTGTGGCCCGGAACCCGCCGAGTGGCTTTCGACGTTCGTATTTTTCCTCATTTTCATTCATTTTATGAAGTCGAACTTCTTTAAGAATTTCTGATTCATTTTTTTCTGATGTCCATCTGTAATGCGACGATTTAAAATAATCTTCATTGATGAAATTTTAATTTCCTGCAGATTTCTAACTGGTACGAATGATGGACTTCGTTTAGGATACACGATGATGAATAGAAGAAACGTCTTTGCGGAGCCGTGGAAAAAATTTACGGAAGTATATAAGGAACTCCGGAACGAAGATACCGTAATATCTCTTAATATCCTTTGCACAGGTAGTTAACACTTAATTATATTCATGAGGAACCATCTCACAGGGTTTGTTCAGCGACCTGGCTAGTTACATGCTGATGACCACAAGTTCCATGAAGGAACTGAACGATAAATTAGAGAGACCAGTGCCTACTCTACAATTCCGTCCAAACATTTTAGTCTCGACGCAGGAACCGTTCAGGGAAGACAATTGGGAGTGGATAAAAATTGGCGAACGAGTGGTTATTAGAAACGTGAAACCATGCTCCAGGTACTAAAATATTTTATTAAATTAAATTCTAATCTCTGGAGAAAAAATTTATGCAACTGTTCAATGTTACAGGTGTAATATGGTTGGTGTAAACCCAACGAACGGAGTGATGGACAAGGAGCCACTAAAGACTCTGAGAACGTATGAAGACAGTCTCATTAATGACAAAAGAAATATCATTTATGTCACAGTTATCTGTGTGACTTTCGTTAGTTTTAGGCAACAAACCAATCCAGATCGCATGTCTCTCGAGGGAAACGCGCCCGTCATGGGAATATACTGTGGACTGTACATCCCCGGGAAGGTGAAAGTGGGCGACGAGGTGTTCGTTCAAACGTTCAGCGAATCGACCGCGGAACCTAATCACCGGGAAGCTGCCAGTTAGACAAAGACCAACGACCATCGAAAATTAACTCGCTTTAAATTGCCTTTCTCTCCGAAAGTAGACGATGTTCAATACAAGTTATACTTAACGCGCTCGCGTGCAAGGGAGATTATAAGTAGACTGAGAATTTAAACAAAAATCGATCGTGCAGGAAATACGATAAAATATTCAAAGCGAATGTATGCCGCAGTGCTTAAATGATGAAGCAAGTTTTTAATGTGCATCTCAAAATCCGCAGTCTAACTATAACAGAAATAGTATTTTCAGACGACTTCTTAAGATTCGAAGACAGTATTAATGAACGCGACGTCTATTTTTAATTCGACGTTATACGCAATCGTTGTACATACCGTGTGTATCTTAATTAAGAGAAAGTGATTTTTTCAGGGCGAATATAAAAGTGTTGAAGTTCCTGGAGTCATGCTTCTCGGAACGTCTTTAAAATATATTGAAAAAACTGTTCGAATAAAGTTGCAATTGTTTCACATGCCTCGCGTACTTATTTTTCATCCCTGTCTTTGAACACAGGAATCCCTGTACCAAGATCCTCTCTCATTTTATCCCGCACGTTACCGACGGCAGTGAGAACGTTAGAAATGAAAGACGACGAGTTCGCTCAACAGCATAATTGCATAATAATGCGTATCGCTGGCAATGGTCAGAGGCCTCGCCAGATAAGAAGAACGAAGTGGGGATATGCGTTCAGAGCCTGTTGTTCCTTTCGCATTCCGTGTTTGAATTCGAACGCGAGACGTTCAACGATGATCACACATACCTTAATCAGCATTATCCTCCTAGGATCTGTGACAGTGTTCTGTCAAAATCCGAAACTCGATGGTAAGTACAATTCCTCGATCGATCCATTTCTTCGTTTCATATTTTCGAAATTTTGAAAATCATTTGGAAATCATTTATTAAACGAACGAAAGTGAAGTTATAAAAAAATATAATTGACAATACTGTTATTACATATTTTAATTCTGAACTACAATGGTAAGTTTTATTTACCAATGCGATAATCTATGTTATCACCGATGTTTGTTTTCGATTTCATTATCTGCGAGTTGCAACGAGAATGACCGCGAATGTAGATTTTTCAGTTCAGAACAGCAAACTAAGAAAATTCGAACAGCTTTTCAGAATACTCTGCGTCATATCAAGCCTCGAACCTCGCCAGACGCGCAGACCGAGGCTGCCAGAGCCGTCGCCCGGCGGCTATTAGGCGATGAACGATCCCAATTTTTCATATTGAGCGTGAACCCCGATCTGGGCCCTGTTGGGAAAGACACTTTCTCGGTAATTTATTTATCAAACTCGGTCGCTACAGTTTTAATAAAAATTCTATTGATTAGATCGAGAAAAATGAGAAGGGGCAAATTGAGATCGTCGGCACTTCCGGCGTGGCTGCGACTTGGGGTTTGCATTACTACTTGAAAACCTTCTGCAACGCTCACATCTCATGGGAGGGGAATCAAATAGATCTTCCTCGCGTTTTGCCAGAAGTTAAAGTAAAAGTAACGTCGAACGACAGGTAATCTGACTCGGTTTTGCAAGAAAAAAAGAATAGGAAGTAATAGTGGTCGACGAATTGAACAGGTTCAGGTATTACATGAACGTGTGTACTATGGGGTACACCTTCGCCTGGTGGCAATGGGATCACTGGGAAAAGCACATCGACTGGATGGCCCTTAATGGAATCAATTTGGCGCTAGCTTTTAACGGACAAGAGGCTATCTGGCAGAGAGTGTACCTACAATTGAATTTCACTTTAGACGAGATTAATGAGCACTTCGGCGGGCCTGCGTTTTTGCCTTGGTAACGTTCTCCTGCCTCTTTCGCGACGAAAATCAATTTCAAAAATTTCCTCCCGATAACGCTTTCGAAAGATAACGTGACAAATAAATATAATGTCGCTGCCTATTATCTGTTAACGAGTCCAAAGTAGCAAACTTTAATCTAGAACATCGCTTGACTAAACAGATTGGACACTTTCAACTTCCACCATGAATTCTTTTATCTCTGAAAAGACTTTACTGATTTTTGGATTCTTTTATTATAACGTAGGTCGAGAATGGGGAATATGCGAGGATTCGGTGGTCCCTTGACCGACAATTGGCATGAAAAATCTGTCGAACTTCAACACCAAATACTTGACCGGATGAGAGAATTAGGAATGATTCCCGTTTTACCTGCGTTCGCTGGTCACGTGCCCAGAGCGTTCCCGAGATTATTCCCACAGGCGAACGTGACCAAAGTCGGCGTTTGGAATAACTTCTCTGAAAAATATTGCTGGTAACGCGAAAATATCGAACGCAAATAATAATCTAATCACACCATTATCATTAATTATTGAAAAAAATATTGTTCCTAGTCCCTATCTTTTGGACCCTACTGATCCAGTGTTCCAAAAAATTGGAGAACAGTTCCTGGAGACGGTGAGTAAAATTAAAAATATTCTAGAAGACGATCACACGCTCTGACTGTGTTTTATAGTACATAGAGGAGTTTGGCACCGATCATATTTACAATTGCGACACTTTTAACGAGAATGAACCTCATACGAGTGAATTGAAGTTCCTGAAAAACGTAGGACGCTCGATTTTCGAGGCCATGAACCGCGTCGACCCACAGGCCATATGGTAAAGCGAAATGAAACACTTTTATAGTAACAAAATTATAGACAGATTATTTTTAAAGGTTGATGCAAGGATGGTTGTTCTTCCATGATGAAGTTTTCTGGACCCAGCCAAGGGTCCAGTCGTTCCTCACCTCAGTCCCACTGGTAAATATCTTCGCATCAATTTGACGCACCCCTTAAATCTAGTGTCGAACTAATTCATCATCGAATTTATTTTATCTTTCGATTTCCATATTCTTATTTAATTTAGGGGAGAATGATAGTGCTAGACCTTCAGTCTGAACAATTCCCGCAGTACAACAAATTTAATTCATACTACGGTCAACCGTTTATATGGTGCATGCTGCAGAACTTCGGTGGCACGCTTGGAATGTTCGGTTCCGCTCAAATTATTAATCGCGTAAGAATTTTTCTCATAAATAAAATCTATGTTTCGTCCAATGTAATTTGTACCACGAACATGGGAGACTGCATTATTCGCAGCAAGTTTTCGCGGCAAGAAACATGAAGAACAGCACGATGGTGGGTACTGGTCTGACTCCAGAGGGGATAAATCAGAATTACGTCGTCTTCGAGCTGATGAACGAGATGGCTTACCGGAAGGAGCCCGTCGACTTGAACAAATGGTCAGAAACGAAACGCTTTGGTAAATGAACAGAAAAACGAAAATATTCTGATGATTCTTCAGGTTCGAGAACTACGCTCAGAGGAGGTACGGCGCTTGGAACGAGTACGCGGTAGCGACGTGGAAAAATTTGGCCAGGACTGTGTACGGATTCACAGGTAGCCAAAAAATTCGAGGGAAATACGTGGTCAGCAGTCGCCCTACTTTGAATCATTCGACATGGGTGAGCACAGACTCCGAAAGTTCCAACGTTCCTACCTTATGATTATTTTGTAAAATTTTCAACAAACAAGTGTCACTTTGCATACGGGAGTGCTGTATCTTTCCGCAGGTTTGGTACGACCGCGACATGTTCTACAAGGCTTGGTACGTATTCCTGCAAGCAAGACACGGACGACAGAACAGTACTTTGTACAGGCACGACGTCGTAGACATGACTAGGCAAGCTGTTCAACTCAAGATAGACGAATTGTACATCGATCTAATTAAATCGGTTGATAAGGAGAACGCTACTTCGGTCACGTAAGTCTATCCGATTTCCTGTGGCAGAAGTGAACGTGCAAAAAATCTAAAATATGTAATCGATGTTGAAGTGACGTCGCAGTAAAAATATTAAACCTGCTCGAGTCCTTGGATAAACTTCTGGCGTCCAATAAGGATTTCCTTTTGGGAAGCTGGCTGGCGATGGCCAAGGATCTCGCGACGAACGAGGCGGAACGGAAACTTTATGAGTATAACGCGAGGAATCAAATCACGTTGTGGGGACCGCGGGGGGAAATACGGGATTATGCGAATAAGCAGTGGGCAGGAATCGTTGCTGATTATTTTCTGCCCAGATGGGGAATCTTTTTATCCCAGATCACCGACGCTGTGAATAAGGGAACGAGAGTGAACATGACCAGGATCAACGAGCTGATGTTCGCGAGCGAGCAGCAGTTCACGATGGACACAAAAATTTATCCTACGCAGGAAACAGGTACAGCATTTTATATGAAATTCCAAGTTTTATGACGTTGATTTTGAAAATTTCCATAGGAGATTCTATAGAAATAGCGGTGGAGATTCTATCTCGGTGGTACGAACCCTCGTCGACTTTGATCGATACCATGAAAACTCTGGCTAAAGGAGTCAAGGGAAGAATATGACTGTTCAAATATTTGACAAGGAATAATTAATAAATCACAGGAACTGTATTTATTTTCTAAGTGGGATTGAAAAATGGATGATCATTTAATAACGCGATCAGTCATGATCGACGGTACGGGAATGAAGCACGGAAACTCTGTAAAGATCGTTATTATTGATAAAAGGACATTCTACAACAAGTCGAAATAAAGCTTGACAGAATCAGAAACAACAACGACGAGAGGCCGAGGGTAAATATAGGGAAGAGAGATCATAAATTGCCTAAGATTTATATAAAAAACATTCGCACGTCTATCGAGTGGTACTTACGATGAAAGTATTTTCACTCCTCGTCTTCACTGGTCAAAGTTACGGCAGTGGACGACCAAAACCTTCCGCCTCTAACGGTTCTGTTCGCGTAAAACGAACAACCGAAATCGTCTACAGGATTGATTGTCCATTAAATTAAAAAAAAAATCTTGACTCGACTGACAAATTGGTAACGTTCTAATATTTTTGGTCAGAGCGTCAGTCAATGCCCTCCACTCGGCTCCGACGATTTCTCGCTTCGTCTCGCGTTCAATAATCGATCACTCGCCGATATTGGACCCTCAATTGGCCAATTCACAATTCGCTCGAATGGAAAGTTCTCTATCAAACCAATAAGGTAACATACACATGCGTCGGTTTATTTCAGTGTTCAATCGCAGCTCTGAATTTCATCGAACAAAATTGGCTGGCAATTGAGGGTCGATTAGATTACTTTTATTCGAAGTACATTAAGAAACATAGTGCGTATCTAATTACGAGGTATAAAATATCTTGTGCAGTTTCGTAAGAAGAGAGATACATCTATAGTGGTACAATAGTTCGCCGAGCTGGTTTGAAAAATATTTCTGGAGATACGTAATATTTCCGTCTCGAGAGGAAAATCTTGAATATCGAAGAATAAGAAAGAACGACACGATGCGATGCTCGTTTTGCATCTTTCGATCAAGTTTCTACGCGGTATAGTAAGGAAGTTTGAAAAATCGCTTAAGAGAAGTACGGCTGAGAGGAAGCGCAAGCTTTATATGTACGCGCGAAGCGAGTAAGCTGAGAATATTACATACCGTCAGAAATATCGTCAATCTGAAATCCGAATACTCTCTGTTATTACACATACATCGAATTAAACACGGTCTACCAATTTCGAACAACTGTAATTCACTTCACAGAGATTTCGGTTCGCCATTTCATTTTACGATCTGGTCATAATTTCAAGTTGACAACACTAGAAGAACGTGAAACGTTCCGAAAAAATTTCGGGGCACGATGCGACGATCAACGTCGATCGTTTTTAAGTGTGCAATTTATGTTTATGGTCCCCGTGTATCAGTAAGGTCCAACGGAATCACGAATCTGCTTTGGTCGCGTGCTTCGCACCTGCGAGGCTTCTCTTATACGTATACAAGCCACGAGAACGTGGCTTTGAATCGCGATGTATATAGAAACGTTGAGAAACTAGAAATAATGCATTCGCCGCGCGGAACGAAAAAGGGAAATACCGATAACGTAATTTGCCTAGAGAATGTGTCGTTGTCTCGACGGGCTCAAGCCCCTTACGTTCTACGGTCTACAAAATACGATTTAATTTCTCCCAAGTCAGCTCGTTCGCGCCTGTCCTCTAGCTACTTACAGTTTCTTAAATGATCTATTTAGTTAAAATTCATAAGTAAAACGCCGTCCGGCTTCCCGCGGCCGGTAGTCAACATTTAAAATTGGTTTCATCGTAGGTACACGATTGCCGTACTTGGAACTGGGTACAATTACATTCGGCCAAGCGCAGTCTCCGTTTTTCGATACTGTTAATCGGACCGCGCTCCGATTACTTCATTGACTTCATCCCATAATTAAAACGACTTTAGTAATTCCACCCTTAACAGCTTTCGAAATCGTTCAACGCTTACACTCGTTACCTGCGAGTTTTAGGAACCGCCTTTCAAAGCGAATTCTCCATGATTTAATTAAATTTCTCTCGTACCAAATGAGAAGCAAAATCATTTTTAAAGGCTCGGCGTTGACCGAGCGACTTTTCACCGTTTGAACTCGAGCTCATAAATTAATCATACAGAGCTCATTAAACTCGGTCGATCGTCGAACACTGGAATCGGCTCATACCGTGTTTATCGATCGAACGGTCGATCGATGGGTTTACCTTCGACGCGTGGATCCGAGGTTCTCAGTGGTATCACCGTTTTTCGATCTCCGTCTCCTGGGTCGAGACTTCTGACACGGGAGGCAGCGGGCTGTCCATCGATATTTGCCTGAAACAGTCCCAAACGCGAATTTAACGAGCGCAATCGGTGCGCTGATCTCGCAAAACCATCGAAGCGAACGCTGGAGGTGATCGCGAACCACCGCGTGTGGCCACTGTGCAACTCTCTAAAACCGCGTGCCGAATTATCCAGCTAAATTACAGCCGCGTTATCCATTTCGATCCCGAGTAAAATGAAACAAGCCAGGAAATGATTAAAATAATTATGCACAAATTAACTGCAATTTTGCGCGGAATAACAAATGTTTGTGACATCGTAATTACGAGAATGAAATAATTTCTCTCGTAAGAGTATTAACGCGTACATAAATTGTGATGTTATTATGAAATCACGGAACTTTAACGGACCGTGACACCTTTTGACGATTTACCTGCCGACTTGCCAGTCGTAAGAGTCCGGCGCGGAATTGCTTCTTCCTGTTCTTTGAAATCTCTCGCTCTTCACGTTTCTGTTCATTTTCGTTCCTTGCAAGGCTTCCTCGCCGCTTTCCGACGGAGTCAACTCTATACTGCACGCAACTGTCTCAGTGCCCGCTGCCTTTCCGCCTTTCTTCGGTAGGAAGGGATTCTAAACACCCAAAAAAGGACCTTGTTCAATTACAACGAAATCTTCTTTACAATGAAATCTTCTTAAATCTTTTTACTACGAAATATTCGAATCGCGTGCACGAATTTTCGTCTCGAAACGAAATCACGCGAAGGAAAAAACAGAGGAAGAGTCGGAGAACAGGCGATGTACGCATTTTACGATGAGCACGCACACACCGAGTCTGGCGTTATTGCCTTGTTTACGGAGTCGTCAACCTTCCTTGAACTCGGCTAGATATTGACTGAGCCTTGCTCATCAAATAATAAATAAGGCCGGGAGACGTGGCGCCGCTCGCGAGGTAGAGCTTTCCCCATCGTCGACGACGAGTGGCCCGCGCCGTCATAAACAGAGAAACCATGCTTGACCTCCCGCTGCCTCGTCGCCGACGTTATCGTTATTAGACGGGAGATCGGCTGTCAGCTCCAATCGAAAATCAATGACCGCGATTCTTTGTACTCGCGACACAGGAAATGTTTGCAAAAAGATTGATAGAAAAAAAAGTCATTTGCTCTCTGGTCAGTTACGGTCAAAGTGAAATAAAATGTGTTTGTCTGTTTGCAAATCTGAACGTCGTGGGTGAAATGAAACGTTTGAATGTAAATAAAGGAATGAGAACTACTTCGCCGAGGTAATTTTATGTTTCCACGAAATTGGTCACGAGTTAAGGTAGATTTGCCGGGAGCAGGGTTAAAAATTACATTTTCATCTGGCTTCTTTATAACTTTTTATCGGCGCGTTCCCAGTCGTGAAAAGGGGATTTACTTTCAGCCGACGCAATGGCGAGAGACGCTTGGGGAATCGTGTGGAATCAAGTGGATGTTTACAGCCGGCTGCTTCCATCGCTGGTTACCTGCGTTATATCCACTGTTCTAAAAATGTGTAAGGTGTCCCATATTCTTTTCACGTTTGGCCGATCTCAGAGCTTCCTCTAACAATTTATCATCGCTTTTTATTAACGTAAATCGTGGCGTTCGTATTAAAAATTAAAATTCGTATTAAAATACAGAATGATTAAAAATGATGAGTCGATCTTAAAGGTGGAAGATTGTGCGGAGATAGGAAGAAAGTTTTCGTTAGCATGAGACATAATTACACAGGCAATAAACTATCGTCGTTTTAATATCTTCTGAACTGACTATCTATAAAGGGCGGAGGGTGAACAGAATTGCACGATGAAAATTTTACGGTATATACATAGGAAGTTGCCTTAACGAGTGGGAGCATTAAGGCTGATGAAAAAGAATGGAAAGAAAGTTTCACGCTGGGGAGAACAAAGTTAGCACGGTCGAAATTATCAATGATAGCCGATCTCTCCCCTCGTCGTTCGCCCGATTACAGAAATTAACCTTAAGCTCGATCTATGTCCCTGAAGTTCCGATGACGTTTGCCGGGGGCTCGAATAAAAAGTGCACACGAGTCGCCGATCGATCGATGCTATCATAAAATGAATTTTTGTACGACGGCAAACGAGCAACGGGTTTAGACCGTCCTGGGGAGGATAATGCCAGCGACACATCGACCACAGGGACTTATTAATTAAAGTCCGTTATTGATGAAGTTCCCCGGCAGTTCGGGCAACGCAAATAGTTTTCAGTGCGCCTAGCCAGAACTAATCCACGCTTTATCGAATACCGATAATTGCTGTTGGCAATTTGCCGAACAAGTTTGAATAAAGACTCGGGCGCGATTTCCTCTGAGTAGGGGAAAAAAAAGGACACGGTCGAATCGCACAGTTCGAATATTTTTTCAATCGCAAGCTAAAATCTCTATCGTTCGAGCTGATGAGTGGTAGTAATAAAAAAACTATAACGCCCACGAAACTGAAAAAAAAAAGATTGTTTTTTACCTGAAAGCTGTGCTGCTTCAGCATCGTCTTGATCAGGATGAGAGTGTCGAGCTTGGGTATTCTGGTGACTACGCGTTCCACCTCCTCGTCGGTCACGGTGACCGGAAGTCGACAGTTTTCAGACTCACTGGGCAACGGTTCTACCCCGCGATTGGTCAGCCACGCGTGTTCTTTCATCTCCGCCAACGTAATCCTCTCAGTCGGATCCTTGGCCAGCATTTTCGTAATCAATTCGCGGAGATCTTCCGAGAGAGCCGGTCTCTCCGGAAATCTTAACGGTTCGGTGCGTATCGCCGCTTGGACACCGATTATGCTTCCGGCCCCGTCCCACGGGATCCTTCCGGTCACCAAACAATACAGCGTGACTCCCATCGACCACACATCGCACAGCTGTTCACATATAATATAAGACCTTGAGTATCTGAAAGTTTCTTATCTTCATTAAATTCCAAGGTGCATTCGTAAGGTCAATTTTGATGTTGCGTATTTTAAACAGTGACCGACGATAGTTTCGGAGCACTTCGCGAATTGACTGAACCCCTCCTTTGTGGATATCGAGCTCTGACCAGCGCGAGGTGGTCGAGTAAATCGACCGCGTTGTCGATAAGGTCACGCGATAAGTCTCGGCTATAATCATGGAAATACACAAAATGGAGAGGGAACTACGTTTTCTTTTCATCGCGAACAGGCTTGATTGTGGGTCATTAAAGATCCGTAAATCGTAATTTGAATGTTTGTAAATGAATTCGCATACGTGGCCGTAAACGCAACTATTTGTTATCATCGATTTCTCTAGGTTCCCTGAAATATGTAGGTGAACTTGAAGTGTAAAGGAACTTCGGTTCGAGTTCAAGTACCAATGCAATTACAAGTAATACGAAATTTCTGTTTAAACGTTACGAGGGTTCTCTATCAAAAACGATAATTAGAGAAAAGGTAGAACGGCGATTAAACGGAGTATCGTATCATAACTCTTTGCCACCTCTATAAATACTCGACTAAATCGAAAATCGATCGCGCCGCCGTGGGTACTTACCGGTCCGGAATAATGACTGCCAGGTACAGTTGTTTCGGGCGCCGCGAACGCAGGTGTGCCTGCCGGTCCCGATAACAACTCGCCCGAACCTCTCAACTCGGCGCTCACCCCGAGATCCGCAATTTTAATCCGACCCTCGCTGTCCACCAACAAGTTACTAGGCTTTATGTCGCGGTGAACTATCCTCTGATAATGAACTGAGGACAAATAAGAAAAATCGTCTGATATTAGTAAATTCACTTGTTCAGGTGCATTAATATTTCCACACGGGACTTTCATTATAACTAGTTTTGCGACTCGAGTTTAGACGTAATGCGAAAGGAAAATCAAGTTAGCTATCTGGGACAGTTTACATTCGATACAATTTTGCACGTTTCAAGGCGACGAGCAAACTAGAGTTTCATGTATACTGAAATCAAGTTAATTGGTAAATCTGTTCACTCACGATACTCGACGCCCAGGACGATGTCGCGGAAGTTTTTCCTGGCAGTTTCCTCGTGCAAGGGTTGATCAGTAGGCACCTGAAGGATCTCTCCCCTTTGAACCAGTTCGAAGACGAGGTACAAATTGTCCTCGTCCGGATCGTCGAGGACTTCGACCAGTTTCACCACGTTCGGGTGGTCCAGTTTTTTCAGCAGCGCGATCTCCCTGTACACTTTTGCCAAAGGGTTCACAGCGCCCTTTTTCCCGGGCGCCATTCTACCAAATATACCAGCTTTTTTCATCAGCTTCTTCTTGCTGAGGATTTTCATCGCGTAGTGTGTGTCGTCTTCTTCATTGTAAACGAGCTTTACGATTCCGTAAGAACCCTGTAACGTAGAAAATAAAAAATATATAAAATGAATAAAGAATTTTACGATTCGCGAATAGTTCTATTATTTCACAGATTCATTTACTACTCTGTGAATTTTTAATTTAACCCCACGCGAAACCTCGTTTTAAGATTGTCACGTTATTTCATTTCCGAGGAATAGTACAAAAGGAGATGACAGTTCTTGTTTAAGAGAGAACAGTGCCTTTACAGCGCACGTTCATGAACTTTTCATGATACCCTTTCACCTTATTTAATTTACCGGGTGTTTTAAAAAGAAAAGTAAAAACGTGAAAGATCACTAGTACTCGGCCAAGTAAGGTATCGACCGCTATTTAATTTCTACGGTATCGTGACTCGGTTTTCTCCACATTACCGTTCCAGTGCTATTACGAAAATACCGAGAACTGCTGGAAATTTTGATATTAATTAAATCAGCAACGAGAGGCTGCCGAATTTACAGCGATCTAACGTTTAACTCGTACAAGAATTTAATTAACGCATTGGTGGTAAAATTATGCTCTAACAAGTGTTGCTATTTTTCGACATGGTTTAGCAATATTTTTAAAGCGACACTTCACTTTGACGTGGAATCTTACTATTTTAAAAGGAATGGTTATCGAGGAAAGGACTTCAAAGAGGTATTCGATCTCGATGAAACGACTTCTTCTCCTTTATTTCTTGCCAGTTCGATCGGAAAGGTTTCTGGAATTCTGCACATACGCGATTTCGCGAGAATCGAACGAAACTCGGCTCCTTTCCGGGCTAATTTTCGCGATGTTCGAACGGAGTTCCGTGCCGAGTTACCAGGAAGACGAGTCACAGATTGCTGAGATAGCGACGCGATTCGAACGATTAGAAAAGAATTCAAAAGAATGGCCAAGTTTGTCGAAGTTAGAAAGAGAAGTACGTAATTGGACAATTTGAATAACTTCTGTGAAATTATACAGGCCTGCACGTCGAGGAAGTTCAAGTTTACAGTGGCCGTTTCTTATCGGTAAAAGCTTTTCTCGTGCACCGAGGAACGATAGAAAGAAAATGAATGGGTTATTTACGAAATTGGGCCAATTTGCGCCGCGATACGATCTCCACGCGAAAGAAGGTGAAAGCGCACGGCATAAAGGCGGCCTTCTTTCCACGATACTTCACGAATCGATAAGAATTGTCATATAAAACAAGCGTTGCACCGCGATCCTGGTTTATTCAATTGCAAAAATTCACTCACTGAATAAGCTTTACGAAATATGAAATTCATATGAAACACGTTTCAATGAAATCGATAAAACAAATTACCCACCTGACCGATGTTGTCCAGGAGCTTGTACTGATTCAGCTGAAGAGCGCCTTGTCTATTATCGATGGAGACCCTTCTGCTCTCTCTGAGAGGTCTCCTCCTGTTCCTAGGCGACCCTTGAGGGCTCCCGTAAGGAGAATAAGGACAGTAGGGATAGATAGGTCTCACGGAAACGCTGGAGGCGTCACCCAAGTACCTCTGACCCCCGGCTTCTCCGGTCGAGATCACGTTTCTTATATTCGAGTCGTCGTCCGACGTCAGCGTCTGTATGTCGCTGGAAATGCTTCCCTTTAGCGTAAAAATATTCGACGACGCGTTTCTGGGCTCCGAGGAAGTTCCAACGCACGCGCTCACGTCGTCTTGTTTGGAGACTTGAAAGGCTATCCTGCTGTCCAATTGCAATTCGTTGTCCACCCTGTCTTCCGATTGGGTGGACAGTAATTGGTACATTTTTACGGGACGTGGAATGATGTTGAGATAAACGTTGTCTTTGACGGATTTCTGAGTCATCTGATCGCGCAGTTTGCCTTTATCAGTCCTCAGGGGATCCTCCTTGGTTTCCGATACGAAGCCTCTGCATTTCTCAGAGTTTATGGTCTTTAGTTTACTAAAAGCCTCATCGGATCTATTAACAGGTCCAACGATGTTTGCACTTTTTATGCAACTGGAGTCAGAGATCGACGGGATTTGGACCGAACTCCTCGAGGTAGGAGATGACATTGACATTCGATTTATAGAATCGCAGAGCGAAGAATCGAAAATCGTAGGGCTCACGCGATTTACTAAACTGGAATTGTCGCCTAAACTCGTTTCCCTGCCTCTGAGGGTCTCTTTCGTCTCTTCGATGTTCGGCATCTCGAATCCGGTGTTGGATACCTTTCTGTGAACCTCTGTGGTAGGCATCCTTTCGCTTTCGACGCCCTCCGTCAAATTCTCCTCGGGTCTACTCAACAGAATTCTCGAGTTCAACCGTTTCGGGCCTGTGGAGGATCTCCGCCTCTCCTTGAACGACAGAGAGAAATCCTGCAGGACGTCGACGGTGGAAGAATTCCTTCTGTCCTCATCGAAGGTCCCTAGATTGCTCGCGTACCCACTGCTCTCTCTTCTAGGTCGGTTCACTCTATGGCTTCTGGACTTTAAGATCTCCCTGAGCGAAGGAAGTCCTTCGGCTTCTTCCAGGAACAACGCACTGTCCTTTCTCACTTCCACTATCTCCTGATCGGATGTATCCTCGGGACTGGATGGAATCCTGGTGGAATCTTCACAAGGCTTGGCCGACTCTCCCGAAAGCAGCTTGACAGACACTTTCCCTTCCGCCGGACTCGGCGATTTGTCTAGCACGCTCGATTTCTTCCAAACGGTTTGAGGATACTGGAATCTGGATTCCTTGGATGCCAGACTGCCAATTCTTCGACTCGAAAATTGATCGGTGGACGCGGTGGAAGGCAACGGGAATATGATTTTCGATGTGTCCTCTGCCACGGCGACCGTCAAGGACTTTGAAATCGATCCCGGCGACTCCTCGTCGATCGCGCTGTGCCTGCGGTCAGAAAAATCTTTCTATTCCATTGATACGAATTCACGGTAAAGGGAATTATCTCTCAGGAGCGGTAACACGGCTCGAGTTCTCAAACCCGGATGCGAATAATCGATCGATTCGCGCGTATAGCTGTTTAATCACGCCGACGGAAACGGGACAATACGTTAACAGCAATTAATCTCTTCCCGTGGAACAAGCGCCGCCGGGAAACAATCCGTCGAGGCGACACAATCTACTATAGCGACGCTATAAACTCCGTCAAATTCGACCGAAACGAATCTCCTCTGGCCCGGGGAAATTGCTCGAGCAAATAACGTTTTACGATTCGTCGCGATATAATATAATATATATACGAACCGTCAATTTCCCGTTGGATCGGACTTTATACGATTGTAAAATCGCGGAACAACAATGACTGGTAGCTGTCACCAGAACGAATTGAATTTCCTCGAAAACAAGCGCCGGTCAACTTTTTCGAGTGCTCGCAAACTTCAACCTCGAAACACCAAATTCGATCTGCGTTTGACATTTAATCGGTGCGCTCCCGCCGCCCCTTCACGGTCTCGTTTCACCAACGCTGGACCAGGTGGAAGTTCTACTCACACACCTGGCCCGTTTCAACGCATCCCCTGTGAACGCATTTGTTTCCTGATCGACAAGACAGACAATAGTAGATTGTGTACGTAGGGCGCAAAATAGGGCATTCTAGCACCGGCACGAGTGTGAATTTCGCCCAAGCGAAGCGAGGGCGACAAATTCACACGAGTGACAGAATGCCCTTTGCGCCCTGGTGCACATACTATTTTTTGACACGCCGGGCGAGAAATTAATCGATAACAAAAGCCATCGAAGTTGTAATTATATCATTTTCCGTCTTTTCCGCCCTAGGGCGGGAATGTGCTATTTTGCGCCCGCTAAACATGCACGAGAAACCGAATTTCGCGCCCGGAGGGTCAAAAATGCTTTTACGGATGCTATTCGTGATTTATCACGTGGTCAGTATTTTCGCAGACGAGCAAACGAGCTCGAAGAGACACGAACGTGCGATCGGAGAACGGCGCCATTTAAATTTCATATTTTGTCACCTTCTTCAAGCCGTAGGCATCTCCATTGCAAATCGACGCTCGTTTAATTCGCATATACGCGAGCCGAGTTCGTTCGCTCAGGATTTAATGAGCTTCGTATACCCCGGGGGCTGAAACTTCCGACTGAATCTCGACCGCGAAACTCGTCGAACGATCCCCGTTACATTGTAAATGCGCTGCCTACTCATCTGTTATTCCCATCGTTCCCTACCTCGAGGATAATAATAATAATTCATACGAGAACGTTCGTACTAGCTCCAGTTCTCGGGATTCCTATCATAAATTCGAGGGCTAATCGTTCTCTAAGCTCCGGTTCTAAGTAGAGAGCAGAAATTTTTCAGCGGCAACGATTTGACTTGGAAATACGCTCGCGACGCGGATCAATTGTTCGGGGTCCGAAGTAGGCCAATGAATACCGAGCCGCGAACACGATCTGCATTCGGCGAGGGTTTCCTCGTTCGTCATCTCGCCGAATTAGACTCGGCCCCGCTTTGAGCCGGCCGCTATTATCTCGCGCGTTCTCTGTTCAAAAGAATCTGCACACGGCCAAACGGAATTCATCCCGGGAACAGGAGCGAGTTTAATTCAGTATCCAGTTCTGAAACGCGAGCTCGTGGAATTTTCTCTGGGTAAACGCATTGGTGCGAACAGAATTTGCAAAGCGGACAGGTGCAGACTCGACTGTGCACGTTCAACTGCTATACGTGCTCCTCGTACGTAAACGTCAACGTAAGGAATTGTTCTCTCTCTCTCTCTTTCTGTCTCTCTCTCTCTTTGAATATGCGAATCGACTCGTCTTTCGAAGCCGACGTTTCAACGATGCGACGAACAATTGATTATAATAAACAATAAGTCTCGACGGGAACGTTCGTTTTAAGCCCCGTTTTAAACAAATCTGAATCTTCCACGAGCAGAAAGGCGAGGAGACGTCGAAACGGAAATTGGATCTGGTTGACTAGATTTACGAGGCCCTCAGGAAATTCGCCGGTGAGTTCGACGCGTGTGTCGTGTTGGTAGATATAGCGACGGCTAGAACTGCTGCCTTTGAATCACAAGTGATTCGATCACGTTCGTTTTCGACCACGGCGTTCGTTTCTAACTGCTTTATTAACAAACAATAGCACCTGCATACTTCTCACATGAGTCGTGCAGGTTTAATAGATTGTCGTCGAGCACGAACTGTTACGTTTTTCGCAATCCGTCATTTGTCACGTAAAATTACGTGTTTAGTAGACTCGCGGTAGAGTTCGGGTGTCGATCGTGACGCATTCATTGTGTCGAAGTAACAAATAATAATACTTGAAGGACGGTATACGACAAAGGAGGTGGGCTTCCGAAGACGGAACGAGGACTCGAGCTACGAGCAGCAGGGATCCCTGGGCGAACAATTCTACGTCATCTCTACGTATAAGCACGGAGGCGTAAGCCGCGAAATGCGATATTGCCCGTGGGGCTCGTAGGCGCACCGAGTCCTTAACAACCTCCGATCGCGAACACGACGCTCGGAATCGTTAAACGCGAACGATCTCGTAGCGATGTAAATGGGTCGGACCACGTAAATTATTGTACCAACCACAAACGTTATATGAAACGTTGGGAGAAATCGATATATCTTCGCGAATTCGTTTCGGAACGATCGTGGAGTCGTTAGAGGGTTTCTCTGTTAGGCACGTAACCGAGATAATTCCGAACGATAATTAGTGTCGGGCGTTAACTGTTACGTTTGACGTCTGAGATGCTGACCTCGGCGAGATAAACGCAACAGCGCAAACATCGCAGCAAGCGCGTGGGATCTCCCGCGTAAACACGTCGCAGATTCGGATTAAAGAGAAGATAGGTCTGTTGGGAAACCTTCTTGGTCGGAAATGTCACGGTCCAATTAAATCTAACCAGTACGTCGATAGAGACTCATTATGATCCGACAAAGGGAGCTAAGTCCTTGAACTTTGACTACTAGTTCCTTTTACGGCATTTACTGATAAAACACGCTTCGACGTTTGACAATCAAATAATTATTACATAAATTTAAGATAAGAATATGAATGTGAATGAGATAAGANAGGTTGGCCCTCAGGAAATTCGCCGGTGAGTTCGACGCGTGTGTCGTGTAGGTAGATATAGCGATGGCTAGAACTGCTGCCTTTGAATCACAAGTGATTCGATCACGTTCGTTTTCGACCACGGCGTTCGTTTCTAACTGCTTTATTAACAAACAATAGCACCTGCATACTTCTCACATGAGTCGTGCAGGTTTAATAGATTGTCGTCGAGCACGAACTGTTACGTTTTTCGCAATCCGTCATTTGTCACGTAAAATTACGTGTTTAGTAGACTCGCGGTAGAGTTCGGGTGTCGATCGTGACGCATTCATTGTGTCGAAGTAACAAATAATAATACTTGAAGGACGGTATACGACAAAGGAGGTGGGCTTCCGAAGACGGAACGAGGACTCGAGCTACGAGCAGCAGGGATCCCTGGGCGAACAATTCTACGTCATCTCTACGTATAAGCACGGAGGCGTAAGCCGCGAAATGCGATATTGCCCGTGGGGCTCGTAGGCGCACCGAGTCCTTAACAACCTCCGATCGCGAACACGACGCTCGGAATCGTTAAACGCGAACGATCTCGTAGCGATGTAAATGGGTCGGACCACGTAAATTATTGTACCAACCACAAACGTTATATGAAACGTTGGGAGAAATCGATATATCTTCGCGAATTCGTTTCGGAACGATCGTGGAGTCGTTAGAGGGTTTCTCTGTTAGGCACGTAACCGAGATAATTCCGAACGATAATTAGTGTCGGGCGTTAACTGTTACGTTTGACGTCTGAGATGCTGACCTCGGCGAGATAAACGCAACAGCGCAAACATCGCAGCAAGCGCGTGGGATCTCCCGCGTAAACACGTCGCAGATTCGGATTAAAGAGAAGATAGGTCTGTTGGGAAACCTTCTTGGTCGGAAATGTCACGGTCCAATTAAATCTAACCAGTACGTCGATAGAGACTCATTATGATCCGACAAAGGGAGCTAAGTCCTTGAACTTTGACTACTAGTTCCTTTTACGGCATTTACTGATAAAACACGCTTCGACGTTTGACAATCAAATAATTATTACATAAATTTAAGATAAGAATATGAATGTGAATGAGATAAGAGAATATGAATATGGATGGGATAAGAATATGTTCGGAGTCACTTTCAACAATTATGCCAATGATAATGATCCTCGGCCTGCGCGTTCGGGATCATTAATGCTATCATTTGCGCCATGTATCATCGTACGCCTCGCATTGTTTCGACTATTGGTTACGACGTTGATTAATCCTCGTCGCGCCAGAACCACCGATGACGTCGGCATCGCCAAAATGCGAGGGTAAACAACGAAATACGCTTTCCTTGGTCGCAATCGAGTAAAGAAATAAATTGACATGATAAAAATAATAACTCAGAGGTTATCATGTGTCAATGCCGAGGAAACAAGCTCGATCTTCGGCCAATAAATATTGTCGACTTTTCCTATTAAAATTCAACACCTCGCGCCCGCCGTGAGATGCGATCGGATCGGGAGCAGGTACTTACATAGCAAATACTTCCCACAGCAAATATCGACCTATGCACGCGGGTCATCCCATGGAATTCGCATATGTCTGCTCGTGGGCGTACCGAGATACGAACGGGACGCGGAAACGTTGCTTCCTTGATTTAAGAGCACCGACCTTTTCGCGCCCGAGACATTTTCAAACAACGTTTGCTTCACGTAGGCGAAAACTTTGTCACAAAACACCTTTTAGCATAACCAGTTGAGCAAAAGTTACTCAGCAAATTCTACACGCGTATCTATGCAGATTTCGTGACTCGGCAAGAATTAAAAAGCTATCAGTTTTTCTGCCAACGTGGAAGCAAGTGTTTTTATCCGTGGTAATCGCTTA